AGTCCCTTTAATGTCCACATCGGCAGAGCGGATTCGACCATCGTCACTTGGGATCACCTTAGTGACCCGACCAATGGGCCAACGTGCTCTTGGCAGTTGTTGATCCACAACCATGACCACCTGATCAGTGGTGAGGTCCGGCGTGTGAGTTTGCCATTTCCTCCTCTGGTGGAGGTTAGGCAGGTAGTTCCTTGTGAACTGGGTCCAGAAATGATCGGCTAACACCTGGCTGTGTTTCCAACGACGGCGTCCAATCAAGTCACTACTGGCATAGATAGCTTGCGGCAGAGAGGCATCCCGCCGCCCCATCAAAAGAAGGTTAGGAGTAATGGGGTCTGGGTCTGCAATGTCTGAAGTGGCATATCCAAGCGGTTTTGAGTTGAGGATACCTTCCACTTCTATGAGGACGGTCAGCAAGACCTCCTCAGGGAGCACTCTGTCTTTAAGAACGACTTGGAGGGCTGCTTTAACAGATTTGATCTCCCTCTCCCAAATACCTCCGAAATGCGGTGCATACGGTGGATTGTATTTGAAGGTGATTCTCTGCTCAGCCAGCTGCTCTTTCAAGGCTGGCTCCAGTACCTCAAATGCTCTCTGCAGTTCTCCGTCGCCCCCCCGGAAGTTAGTGGCTCTGTCGCTTAGGATCTCGTAAGGCTTGCCTCGTCTGGCCACAAAACGTCGTAAGGCAAGTAGGAATGAGTCTGTGTCCATACTGCACAAGAGGTCAAGGTGCACACATCTTGTTGTCAAACATTTGAAAATTATGCCCCACCTCTTCTCTTGTCTGCGACCTATTTTGACAGCATATGGTCCAAAACAGTCGATTCCTGTGGACCAATAAGGAGGTTTATGTAAGCGAAGGCGTGCATCTGGAAGGTCTGCCATACGTGGTACAGTGGGTTTGTTGCGCCATCTTTGGCACTCTGCACAGCTGCGTTGGTGCTTCTTTACAGCTTGGCGCCCACGGAGGATCCAATATGTCCGCCTTACTTCTGCGAACACACGTTCGGGACCAGGGTGCAGCAACTCGGTGTCGTAGTGTTGTATCAGCAGCCGGGTAGCAGGATGGTCAGGCGCTAGGACAATAGGATGTATCATGTCCGGAGAGCCTTCTACCTTCCTCAGCCGACCACCAACACGCACCAAGCCCACCGCGCTGTCATATTCTGGGCAAAGAGAAAGCAGACGACTGTTATTACTGAGTGGCTTACCTGTCTGCAGAGCAGCGACCTCTGCAGCGAAGCTCTCCTCCTGCGCTCGTCTGAGAACTGCAACTTCAGTCTCAATGCGGGCAGAGGCAGTCATCGGAGGAGCAGCCGCCCCGTGTAGGGACAGGTATGTCGCTTGGACCAGTTCAGACCAGGAGTTATATTGAGTCGGGTCTGGAGCTGTGGGCGTGGCCGTCACAAGACCACAAAAGGTCACGTCTCGGCTCTCTTCTGGTGGAACAGAGGCCGTAGCGGGCTTAACTGGCCATTCCCTGTGGGGCTGATACAGGAAACAAGGCCCACAGGTCCAGCGGCTGGGTTTTGCCAAGTCACTAAGATGTTTGCCACGCGTGACATCATCAGCAGCATTGTCATTGGTTGGAACATAGCGCCAATTGTCCGCACCCACCAGCTCTTGAATTTCAGCAACACGAGTCCCTACAAACACTTTGTACTGCTGTGACTCTGACTGGATCCAATGGAGGACAGTAGTTGAATCTGTCCACAGTGTTGTAGTTTTCAACGGCAGCGTTAGTTCTGTTTGGATGACCTTTGCTAACTGAGCACCAGCCAGAGCGGCGCACAGTTCCAATCGAGGGATGGAGAGCTGCTTCTTTGGGGCTACTCGGGACCTGGCCAGAACAAAGGACACTTGCAATGCACCTGTAAAGTCATGCTCTGCCCTCAAATATGCAACTGCACCATATGCTCTCTCTGAGGCGTCTGTGAAGATGTGCAACTCCAGTGGCGTATCAGCTGGGACATTTGAGAGGTAACATCGGGGTATTGTCACATGCTGCAGCTGAGGTAGTTCACTCTCCCATGCCTGCCACACCGGAAGGAGCTCATCTGTGATTGGCTCATCCCAGTCTCGGCCTTTCTTCCACAGCGCTTGAACCAGCACCTTAGCACGGGTTGTGTAGGGAATAAGAAAGCCGAGTGGGTCATATTGGCTGGCCAGCACACGGTACACATACCTCAGAGTGGGTTGAGCAAGAGGAATAGCTCTATGTCTGTAACTGAGTGCGTCTGTGCTGCAGTTCCACAGAAGGCCCAGAGTAGACTCGAGAGGGTCTTCTTTATGAGCATTGAGCCATAACTCACAGGTGGCAGACTTTGCTTCAGCTGGCAGATGAGAGACAACATCAGGTACATTGGAGGACCACTGACGCATGTCAAAGCCTCCCTGGGCAAGGAGAGCTCTGAGCCTGTCGATGAGCTGTTTGGCCTGCTCTGGAGAGGGCAAGGACTGCAGGCAGTTGTCCACATACATAGATTGCAGCACTGTATTAACGATATCCTCATTACCCTCACTGTAGTCCTGGACGTGGCGCTGTAGTGCATATATAGCACAACATGGGCTGCATGTCGTACCAAAGGGTAACACACGCCACTCGTAGACATCAGGACTGCGCTCTCTGTCTCCATCTCTCCACAGGAAACGAAGCAGTGGTTGATCTTGTGGGAGGAGCCTCACTTGATGGAACATGCCTCGAATATCACCGTTGATGGCCACAGTATATTCCCTGAAACGCAGAAGCACTGCAAGGAGTGAAGAACCGAGAGTCGGGCCTGGCATGAGGTTCTTATTAAGGCAGGCCTGTTGATGCACAAAAGAACAGTTAAAAACAACTCTGGATTTATTATTGTGGAAAACGAGATGGTGTGGCAGGAACCATGACTCGTCTGAGTTGTTTACTTCTTCTGGACTGATTTTCACTGCATAACCTGATCTGACTAGTTTGTCCATTTCTTCATTGTAAATAAGCAATTGTTCAGGATTATGTGTGAGGCGGCGCTCGGTGGCTCTAAGGAGAGGCATGACTGCATTAGGTGAAGCCAATAGGTGAGATGCATTTTTCTTTCGCAGGAGGGGGACTGCATATCGACTCACACCATCTACTGTGACCCTAACACTCTGCTGCTCTAGTTGTTCTAGTGCTGCTTTGTCTTCTCCAGAGCGAGTGACCTCTTTGGTGGAACGAAAGGGCAGTGAATCCAATTGCCACAGTCGTTCCACATGTTGATGTAGCTCCTCTGCAGGGGACAGAACTGATACGTGCAGGCAGCTGCTGTCACGAGGAGATTGTTGGAGGAAGCTGGCTGGTCCCTGCACTGCCCATCCCAGGGCTGTGCACACAGCGGCAGGACCACCAATGGGGCCAGATATGACAGGTTTCTTTGGAATGATGAGATGTGGGTTGTCTGATCCAATGAGAATCAGTGGTTGGATTTTATTAAAGGACGACAGCGGAACGTCCCTTAAATGTCTGTAGCCTCTCTGGAGATGCTCAGGGGAACAGGATTGCTCAGCCAGATTCAACTCTGCAGCTGTAAACGCGTTGTGAACCTTGAATCTCAGTCCATTCTTTGTTGGGGATGACACTTGGAATGACACAGTGGCACCTTTAATTTGGACTACTTCCTGTCTTATTGTTCTTAGAGAGAGTACTTCAGGCTGTTGTTGGAGATCAAGCTGTTGAACGGCAGCAGGCAGGATAACAGTGCGCTCAGAGCCGTCATCCAACACTGCATGTGTGTCCATATATTTACTCCCATTGTATATGCGGACTGGCACTACTTTTAACATCACTCTGCCTGAGTGACTGGCTTGATCGACGAATACCATACTTGAGGTAGTGTTAACAGTCAGGATGCTCTCTGCCTGAGCCACATCATGCAGCACAGGAAGATGTTGTTCTCCGCAGGTAGAACAAGGCTTCTTTAATGTGCAGTTAGCTGGAGAATGTCCTCGGCCACACCTCCAACATTTCTTATTGTCCTTTATCCAAGCTGCCCTGGCTGGATTTGAGAGCTTGGTGAAGTCATCACACCCGTTGAGGTAGTGCTCCTGATTGCAGCAGTAGGGACAGTATGGTTTGAATCTATCCCTCTTCTTTGCTTGCTGTGCACTAGGGGAAGCTAGGCGTGTGACTGTGGGCTGAGTTGATTCATTACTGCCAAACAATACAGCTGTAGACTTGGGCTTCTGTGTTTTGACTGCCCTCCTCTCCACACTACTGGTGTCGTATGAATGTGTCCCTATTCTACGGGATACCTGTAGGGTCTGCACTTTCCTCTCTAGCCACTCAGCTAGGTCTGGTAGCGTGTATGTCCTGTCACTGCCACTCTGAATAATACCCCTGCTGAAACAGTACTCAGCAAAGGAATCTCTTAAGTACGGGGGTAGTTTTGTGAGCAGTGTGTCAACATGGGAACCACATTGCAACTCAGATGATGATGGGCCCTGCATAGAACTTAACATGCCTACCAGTGTGCTAACAGCTGCAGAAAAATCCTCCATGCCCTGGTAATCACCTGCTTTAACTGGGGGTGCGGTCAGGATGGATTTGAGCTCTGCCTGCACTAGCTGTCTAGGCTGACCATAGCGCTGCTGAAGAGCTAACATAGCACTAGAGTAAGGAGTGGAGCTGTTTATGTATCTCTTTGCTATCTGCAAAGCGGCAGGGAATTTCAAATGATCCAAGAGGACTTGGTATTTGTAATCCTCAGTTAGATGGCTGTGGGGGCTGAGCACACTGTCTAAACCTTTTTTGAGTAACAGAAAATCACTCTCCTTCCCTGAACTGAATGCAGAAAGCTTAGGCTTGGGGATGCCGTATGAGGAGGCAATAGCCATTTCCACCATGCTAGGGACATTAGCACTGACAGGGGGAGGAGCTAAATATGGCTGGCTGACAGGTGCTGTAGGCATACGAGTGCTGTTTGGAGTATATGCATTGGGATACGCATACTGCTGTCTACTATGTGGATAATAGACAGGTGCACTATATGGATGTGAGGGAGCAGGTGCGCTGTAGGGCGTGCCTTGAGGAGCAACTACATGCGGTGCAACTACACTTCTGTGTGAGGTGTCGTACAGAGGGGGCAACAGAGCTGCTTGAGCGGGATCTACTGGAGGAGGAGGCGGTGGCCAGTACTCACCGGTCTCTGCTCCCTGGACTATACCTGCTGTGTAGTTTGGAGGCACTGCTGGTAGTAAAGGAGCTGTCACTGGTGCTGAAACACTAGCTTGCCCTGTCGGGGGAGGATGCTGCACAGGAGCTATGGGTGACAAAGGTACTATGGGGGAAGAATGCCCTGAACGTTCTGATGCATGCCATGACTGAAGAGGCTGGAGCTGTGGCATGCTGCTGTACTGCTGTTCCTGGGCATATCTATGCTTGGCAGGTTGGGCGCTTTGTGTCAGCCGAACGTTGCTCATTTCCGTCTGAAGTTCCCTCATTTGTCGACCGAGTGCCTGATAAGCTGACGCCAAATGCTGAATTCTGTCTTCATCATCATCATGAGAGGATGAAGTTGACCAGCTCTCGGGGCTTTGTGGTGGACGTTGGAATGAAAAGCCAACCTCATAGTCCTCCAGATGTCCGGGAATGCGACGCACTCTGCTGGGACGGGGACTGTGTAGTGGCTGCTCATCATAAAAGTCTCTGGATGCGGCCATGACGCAGCTCTTGGACATCCGGCTCGAAGGACCACTTGTAAAAGATTATATTGTATTTGAATGCTGGGGTCCAAAAGTCCGGCCTAAGTCTTCGGCAAGAAAGACTGCAGCAGATCCAGAGTAGTAGGATGAAAGGTTTATTGCAGCTTGAACAGGTTGGGATGGATGCGTGAAACAAGAGCGTGTGTGTGTGTGTGTGTGTGTGTGTGTGTGTGTGTGTGTGTGGTTATCTGTGAACACACAAATGTAACATTGGAATTATTATAAAGCCTACAAAGTACACCACAACATGCATATACATTAACAATGTTGATATGAATAAAATTAAACACTATCAACAACGTACAACACAACATCAAATGAATAATTATCATTGTTGCACTTTGAAATGGCTCTGGATACAGTTTTGATGTTATTACAAAGTATGTCCACCAGAGGGCGCTAAAGTGTGCTACATGACGTAAGGCCGCAGTGGACCGCATGGTTAATGGCGATCATGCAGGAAAGTTTCCAAAGAGATGAAAATGAACTACAAACATATGCTGCTAAGTACACAATGCAAGCTAAAGACAGGACTACACAATATAATGGTGTGGACATACTCACATAGTCATTAAACGCACAACAACACGATGTGAGAAAGCTAAGAGAGAGCACGCTCTTCACTCGTTGCCCTCCTACAGCAGACTGCCCACCTGGACTCCTGTGCGCATGTCAGTGAGGGGCGAACTGTTCTTAAAGGTACAGTGTCATAGAAGCAGGGAAATTTGCACAGTTGATGACGATGTAATGTATGCTAACAATGACTCTCATGATGAAGTTTGTTTTCACAGGCCGCAACGCCCTTTGCTAAACTCGCAGTACAACAGAAAGCTAACCTTTACAGTCTATGGATCTAACCAGCAAAAACACATATAGTCTGATAAAATAGTCTTCAAACTTACCCGCTGGACGACATATATTTGCACTAGTTTAGTTTGAAGATATCGATTTTAAATGAAATGATAAATATCCATTAGCTTTTGTATCAATGGCGAGCATTGAAGTGGGTGTATCTAACCTTCAAACGAGGAATTATGAAAAATGTATAATTCCTAGTTTATATATATATACATAGTTCCCACATGACGTCACTACATACGGGGATTTGCCGACCCGGCGACATTTGTGTTGGCATTCTGTGGGCAAAACAATAGAAAAAGAAGCTGAAACGTGTTAATGTCGTGATAAAGTTGAAAATGGTCATCTCCTGCTGGGTCAATGGATGTTCAAATCGTGCCGGAGGTTCCGTTAAACTTGGATTTTACAGTATACCCATCATTAGACTTCATGAATGTGAGAAGACTAAGCTTTTGTCAGAACAACCACGGAGGTTATGGCTTGCGAAGATAAACAGGCAAGAAACTCCCTCAAAACACGCAAGAATATGCTCGGAGCACTTTGTGTCAGGTGCGTATCGTATCTCATAATGTGTTGACAGACGTAATTTACTCAGTACTAACTTGTGTATGCTGATATCTGGTAACTTGAGAGTTTCATTATTTAGCGTTAGATTACTTTATTATGAGGAGGATCGGTGTCGCGTCCGAGGCTCTCGAGGGCAACGTAAATGTATTAAATAGATAATAATAGTTCTATGGTGGGCTAAAACAATGTTCACAAACAGCATTGCTTCTGTAAAAAGATCTGTGTCATAAAATAAACTGCTCTTTACGCCTGGAAAAATCAATTGCCCACCAGTCACCAAAACGTACGGTCAAAAACGCGGAAATAAACAATAACAGCAATCCAGAGTGTCCGTGTGGCATTAGCATTAATTAAATTAATTGTTAATATAATTAAAATAATTAAATGGAGCTCCAACTGGTATTAAATCTAAAGTTTTTGAGAAATGTTTGCATTGCTTGTTAATTTTTGCTGCATAATTTGATCAAATATGTAAAACATGTCCGTAGCACGTTAAACTGTGGTGCCATTGTATTAATATACAATTATTTGCTCAAAAGTTGCCCTTTTTTTTCCAATTTGCGTTTGAATATCTACATTTATTCTCATTCTTCTGTTTAATGGAATGCACAAACACAGCAGCGTGCCATCAAAGATCGCGTCTCCGAGGAGGTCATGTGACATTCATTGGTCTGTGGGAACTATGTATATATAATTTTGACGTCCTTAAGATAAGCGTTTTCAAAGAGAAAAGGTGAAATAGAGAGATCTCAGCCCAAATAGTAATAATAATAATGCATCCCTTTCATATAGCACTTTTCAGGACACTCTAAGTCGCTTCACATGTCAATATTCTTTCACTCCATACACAGTGGTGATAAACTACTACTGTAGCCGCAGCTGCCCTGAGGCACACTGACAGAAGCGAGACAACCAGTCTGTGTCATCAGCCCCTCCGAGCACCACCAGCCATTCACACACACACCTGACTCATTCTAGGCAATGTGGGTGAAGTGCCTTGCCTAAGGACACAACGAGAGTTTAAGCACTTTACAGCTGCCCCACAGTGGCACCTGGTGTTCCCAGAGGTCTCCCGTCACAGAAATAACCAGGCCCTAGTTGACTCATACAGACTCTTTAATACAAGTATTCAAAATATACAAGCTAATAAGACATTTTACTTTTGCAAGATTTGTGTTGGTCTACTCTTGATCTACTGTATATTCTGGTTACATAACATTTAATTATTTATCTGTTTGGATTTTGGACCATTGAATCAAAATAGGTGTCCCTTTACCAGACTAGAATGGAAGGCTGCATACTGATGGACCACACTAGTACATCATAGATTATAAGTACACACACGAGTAAACAGTATCAGTTAAATAACCTTAAGGTCTGGTCCCAAGATGGTGATACTGAGGAAAGACAAAAATAAGAGTCGCCTAAAACAATTGAGCTGTAAAGCCAGACTCGTGTTTCTCTGGTACCACTGGAGGGACGGGGAGAGATTCCTGTAGTTAAATGATTGCATTTTGATTTGCTCTTTCATCCACGTGTTTGTGTTCTTTTGGGCTAAACACTCCTAGAGAACTACTGTAGAAATAGTGAAGACATGTATTATAAGTAAATTAGACACAAATCCACTGTTGATGTAGATATTTAATGTTATTTTTTTTATGCCGACAGCTCTGCCTTAAGCTGGACCCACGCAGCAGGTGCAGGTGCATGACTGTCACCTCCTGCTGGACACTTATGACAGACTGACCGTTTCACAGGTCTTGTCACTTAACCTGCTGTAAGTCTGTCTACATCCTCATGCTGCTAACACCTGCGTAGAATCACTAAATATTTTCCTCCACAAGTGTACCTAATTCCGTGGGCATTTTACATACTGTTATGCCTCAGCTAAGACTTTACGCACAGAGATGTAGTATATTCATAGACTGTAAATATTAAGTATATTTCATTTATTATTTTCTTGTTTGAGTGCAGTCCTGTAATGCACAATTACATTAGACGTTGAAATTCCCCCTCTGTGTGACAAATAAGGCTCTCTTATCTTATCTTATAGCACGTCACAATAGAGAATGAATGCTTAATTCCACTGTTCGGCTCAGGTCTCTTAATTAGGACTACAGATGGAATATAGCATGGTGCTTAATCTGTTGCAGCCATCTTTTTAATGTAAATCTGTACATTGTCCTTAAATGAACTAAACTAAACTAATGTTACAGGCCTTTTGTAAATGGTTTACTAGGATTTTCCATACTGTATTTGTTAATCCTATTCCTCAAAGTTGACTGAATATACAAACTACTGGGGAAAATATAGCGGTCATACTACTGCCCTTAGTTTTATATTAGTATTTTTATAATGTGTGAAATAAATGACGGTATTTTTATATTGACACTGCTTGCCAGCTTGCTTATATTTGATTACTTTAAACTAGTTTTTTGGTTTTTTTATTTCAGAGTTTACTATTTAAAAGCAAGTGAAATAATCATTGAATCCCGTCCAAACTTGCTTAACAGTACAAAATGCAAGACAGATGAAGAACAGCCTACTTTTTTGACAACTTGTATAATTCTTTCTTTTGATGCAAGTTGTTTTGTCCTCATTTTCTGACCTAATTCTGCGGCACAGCCCTGATCACAACACGATGAAACACTCTTCTCTTTTCTGAATGAAAGATAAAAAGACAGCTCTGCAGATTGAGTGCAAAAAGGAGGTTAGCTGAGAGACAGTAGAAAGTGAACTCTAAGCTTAGAAGGCAGCTTAAATATTTGGAACATTTGCTAAGAACCAAGCAAACATCTTTATATATACAGTATATAGGAGGATCTTTGTTTACACCCGTGTGCGCATGCGCCCCTCGCCGGGTGGCAAGAGGACTGAGCGGCACACACTGAAGCATGGATGCAACGAGTACTTTTAAAAGACTCAGTGGGCGAATAGCACTGTATATAAGCACTTTAAAGCAAGACGATCAGAGGAGATATAAAGACAAGCTAAAAATAAGTATATGAGACCGAACTGAACAAATTCAAAGCCCATACGAGTCCTGGGAAGAAAAAACATTGTTCAGACTCACCTCTGTCTTGGCACCGATCTGCTGGGACTGGGACTCGGAGACATTTATTCTTTCTTCATAGAAAACCCGGGACCCTTCACTCAACAAGGGTCCCTGGTGAAAATACGTTTTTAAGTGGCCCGGAATTTTGCCACACATTAAAAGTGGGTTGCCCCTTTATGGGACTACAGATGAAAAATAGCCTCCTTGGCTAATTCTGGCTTTTTTAACTCATGTTTTATCATGTGTTTTATTAAATTGCATTGTCCCCCTTTGAAATAAACTAAACTGAAACTGAATGCTGTTTCTTACGGTAAAGGTGGAACAGGAAGCCGCAGGGATGAGCAACCAAAATGCACTGTTTAAAATTAATCATCACTCATGAATGAACGAATGAATGAACAAGTGCGCAGTGAAAGTAGTTGCAAAACTTCAATTTGTTTATGAATTTTTATCCCCTCATCCCCCCGGCTTCCCGTTCTACGTTTACCGTAGGTAACAGCATAAAAGGGAAACCACTTTACCACAACCGTTTCTCGCTGTTCTTTTCCGAAAGAATTAGAAAAAAAACTTAATCTGTCCTCAGCGGGCCGTACAACCGACCACACAACAAGAACAGACCATTTGATTTAGTAGAACCTCTCTCCAAACGTCTAAAAATAGCTAACTCTCAAGCATCCAGGTAGCTTTCTATGCTGTACTGGAAAAACTATAAACAACGACGTCACTCCAAGATCCTTCTATAGATTCATAGGAGTTGACAAAAGAGTATTTTTTTTGAACAAGTTGCAGGGAATTGAATGAAACCACTGTAAAGCTTGTGGCAACACTGATGCTGTCTGCTTTTATCTGATGTTGCAGCTTATTACTTTTTCATTTCTCATGAATAGAATTGTAATGCACCTGTCAAAGCTATGTTGTTCTTCTAACACGCTGAAAAATACATCAAATACTCTTATCTCCAGGCTTTGAAGGTGCAACAGCCCCTAGATGAAACGCAAAATCTATACTGAACAACATTTTAAGCCTTTTCAAAAATCCTTCTCTCTAGGTCATTCCAAGATTATTTTTACTGACAGTTCAAAATAGGTGGTTTGGAAAAATAAAGCCACAACACCAATGATGGATAATTGGCAGCACTGCAAAGAGACATTTATAAGAACCCATACACAATAGCTCATTTTTTAAGCCGAATTCTCTGGATGTAATAATAGGCCAATGTTCCTTACAAAGGCAAGGTATAGAATAGGTTACTGACTCACTTACATATTATACGTTGTCTTGCTCGTGACATTGACTTGATGTTTTTGAGCTTTTAACCATGTCGGTCCATTGTTTTGCCCATAGATTAGTTTTGGCAATTTCTCAGCTGAATACACGGTCTTTACAATCACATATCTGTGTTTGCAGCTGGTGATTTTTAAAGTTGGAAACAAATTCTACCCCTCCCTCTGGTGTTAGCATATGGATATGGCAGTATATGGATTAGATAAGATAGGATAGACTTTATTGATCTTACACAGGAGAAATCTACATGTCACATCTGGCATGGATAGAATCACTCAAGATTTGTGCAAAGAAAGAAGTGTGCAAACATTTAGAACCATTAAACATTTTAATCATTAGCATTGTTTATCCTTGATACACTTTCCTATTTCACAATATATTTTCTACTGAAGATATGATTGCACATTCTAAAACATGGTGGTATGGGCATTGGGTGCAGCTCTGATTGTCACCCCCCCCCCCCCCCCCCCCCCGACTCAGAAATGGACTAATAAAGGGGTAGAAAATTAATGATTGAATTATAAAACATGAAATGACAGTAAACAGTCTCCTTATCATTTTTAAAAGCCACAAATAATGTACATTTTTTCTTCTTTAATACCTAATGAATTTCTTAAGTGGATTGCACTGGCAAAGTCCCACAGTCAAATAGGAGGTGAGTTCCCCTTCCGTTCTGATAACTTAATCTCCCTACTGACATTACGGTAATCGACGCAGACGTGGGCCAAACAAAGCCTGTCTGTGCTTGTTTATTGTCTTGTTGTTGGGTGGCCGGGCTCTCCCTGTGGCCCCTGTTGGCCTGCTCTGTGCTTCTATTGGATTACGAGAGGGATTTTGAACTTGGGATTAGGCCATGGGGCGGGCGGGCAGTGAGGGGGCAGCTTCACCGTGGCATAGACATGTGTGTGTGAAAGTGTGTTTTTTTGTCCAGGACACGCGACGGTGCTTGTACCCCCATCGGAGCCTTTGTCTCCCAGCCCAGGCTGTCAGACATGAACTTGTTCTGCTTCACGCTGGTAGGATTATTATTTTTTATATAGTAATTTATCTTATATTCATGCGTCTTGGCTGCACAATCAATTGCAATCAAATCAAAATTACAAACACTGCAATTTCTGAAATAATTTGCACACAAAAATTAAAGAGAAAGCAAAACATTTGGGAAAAACTCTCTCAATTTGATTTTATATTGAAGATTGGTAAATGGAGAAAGTATCTTATCAGGCAGAATTCTTATTTTTTCATTCCAAATCAGACATTTAATCTCTTTTGTGATTTATATAAACTGTTGCAAATGTTTGACTATTAGAATTGGGTAAGAAAATGTGTTTTTATATTAACTTTTATTTTGAAGTGAATCTGTTCTTTCTACAGTAAAAATGTTTGTACTGTATGTTTAGACATGATAAATATTACAGGTAATGTCTTTGTTCTTTATCACGTCAAAGGAAACCCTAAAATGTACGAATGAATGTTTTTGTTTTCATGTATGATGCTAGTTCTGTAAATTACAACAAATGATTCCTGTTTATAAGCTGGAAAAAATTGGAAAGAATGAAAGCCGTTCCCAAAGTACAACTCAACCTTTGAATGCGATTATCTTATTCAAGTTCTTTTTTCGGTTTCATTGGGGGGAAAAAAGTCTATGTCAATGAAACTGGATGTACCATTTTCATAACCTTCATCTTTACTCCTAAACAAACTCTACCCTATATTGTACATGGCTTAGCTGAATCCATCACTGCTTTTGCTAAGAACAGCCTATACATCTAGTTCCACTCTTTCTTTAAACCACTATATCTTTAACTGTTATCGATTCTCACTTCCACAGTCGTCCCTGCACACATTGCAAGCAAATATTTATACTTACTTTGAGATTGGATGTATAAACCGCTTTTCTCCTTGTGTTTTTTCATGCAAAACCTCAATGACAAAGAATGCAAATTGTGCTTGTGCAGTGAATTTATTAATAGATTATGAAACTACCACAGGCTAAACTTGCACGTTTGATTGAAGTGCACCATGTCTGTTAATACACCCCTCAGGCCAGATTTGGACTTAGCACTGAGTTGAACCCTTTAAGTAACGCAAATGAACATAGATTGACACGGAGGAGCCACACAGAGCGATAAGGATTCCTCTGTTAGGAATGCAATGAAAAATGACGAAAAAGGGGCAGTTATGGGAACAGTGACAGCAATACACAAAGTTTGGCCGTCTGAAAACAAGTGACATCGTGTAATATAGTCGATATAGCAGGATTTACAGCACCAGCTTATGTAGTATCTGTGTCAGGGACTTATGATTGAGCTTCTTGTTCTTTCATCTTATCACTCACATCCAAGCAACTACACATGTTTGTTATCCTTGAAATGAAATGAAAAAAGCAAAAGGGACATGAGAGGAATATTTGTCATTTGTGTGTAGGCTTACAATTTGCTCTTTACAAAGTATTCTTTGTGAAAAGTCAGATCTATTTGAGTGCCATACAAAGACGTTTTCACCCCTTCTTGAGCAAATCCCTTCATATTCACTGCCAATAACTAAACATGTTGAAGATTGTAGCAGGACAAATACAGAGATTGTGATAATTTCAATATAATAATTGCTTAAAGCTGGGGTACCTAACTCCCCCCTTCATACTTATTTATATATTTGATAGGAACAGTGCATTAATACACACACATAATACAGTGTAAATATGTAGTATCAGACACGAGACAAACAAACAAAAATATTTATAGGTATAAAGTCAAATCATAGAATATAGGACAATAAAAAACCTCATCAGAAAGTGTCTTGTAAAAGTAAAATCAAACAAATGTCTTTATCTTGATCATTTGCATAGTTGTCATGGGACTCACTATTTGACTCTTTGGTCTCAGAGCTGATTGGACGACCATAAGATGTGTCTTTTTCATTTGTATAAAAACCTGTGAACATATAAAAAACGTATGCCTGTGAAAAAACAGCGATAACACCATTTTGAGCGATGAACCAGTTAGATGGACATAGTTCCATATGTCATTGTTTGAAAGTTAGGTACCCCAGCATTAATCATGGGTAATTTCTTATGTCTTTTCCATCAGGAGGGCTCCACTGAAAGCGTGTATGAGCCAGCCCACAGTCAGACGGTCAGAGAGGCAGGACCCAAGTTCCCGTGCAGTCCGGCTCTGCGGAGGAGGAGGCCTGGGTGGGGGGGCTCCGACTCCTCCATCAACTGTGTATGTTTTGAGTTTTCTAACATAGAGGAAAGTGTCGCAAATTTGTGTTGAAAATATGTTTTTTTTAGAGCAAATCTCAGAGTGCCAAAATCAACAGAAACAATGTGAGGTATGTTGAATGTTTTACAAGAATGTCAATCAAAAATACATTTTATTTCAACTTACATACAAGATAAAATATGCATTGTGTGCTTTTACAGGTCATGCTTTGTAACATCAGACATGGACAATGAAATAAAAGGTACCGTCTTCCACTATGGAATATATTTGACTGTTCCTCATTTAATGAAGGGCCTCTTTGAAGGACAGCTTGTCACATGTGTTACATGCTCTTACACATTTCCATACTTGCAGATATTCACAGGGCATGCTGGATTTCATCTGCTGATACAAAGGACCCTGCTCATCAAAAGAGAGAGCCAGATAAAGGCATGTAAATGAGTACATTGTGCTTCATTCATCCACTGTCCATTGCTAAAATTATAAATGTGACAAGGCTGAGCAGATTGTTCTTTAATAACGTGATTATTATTCTCTTGAAGACACGTGTCGAACATCAGAAGACATTGCAAATAGACTGGTGCTGAACCATGAAAAGATAAAGGCAGATCCTACGCTCCAGGTAAATCTGGTTTTATTTGTTTTTCTGTCAGCCCTGAGCCCGTTCTCCACTGAACCTTTTCTCATCTGTTTGTGGCCAAGCCAGAGAGCGAATGACAGCTACTGTACGTCTGTAATCCTGTGCCCACATGTGCCAGGAAGTACAATACCTGCTGCACATGCACGTGGGAGTGCACATGGGAGTGCACGTGGGAGTGCACGTGGAAGAACAACTCCTCTAAATATTTTACACAGCAACAACACGTGTTTGATACTCAGCAGAGCTTGGTAGTAGAGTGTAGTGTAGCAAAGAGAGGGACTGGTGTAAAGTGATTCTTACATCTCCTTTAATGTCCCCTAAAGATGCTGAAATATATTAAATCTCCATGATTTGTTTCCATATTTGCCTCAATGATCGATTCCAATAATCTATTGAAAAGCATGTTTCTGTACTGCTGTAATTCAAAGCGATAACAGAATGAGGGGAAGGTCAGCAGCTTGTCGGACAAACCTGCTGTTCACTTCAATCTGGTTCATGATCTTTAATATTATTGTATCTGCTCTGAAAAAGACCTGGATTAAAGTGTACATAAGGTTTCCACATGGTTGTGGTTGTGCTGACGTGGCAGTAAAGTTGTTCTCAGTGTTTTACTAATGTGTAGTGGAAAACTAATAACAAGTCTATTGCTTAAAGTAGTTTATTCAAAGATCCATATGTTCTGAGGCTTTGACCATAAGCAAAGGGATGAGAAATGGCCTGTTCTTCCTAATGCAAAACGAAACACGCTTAGCCTTGAATGTGTGCACGCTGCACATATTGTTCTTTATCGCAGGCCAGCAAAACCGCCGCTGACACAGCAGAATCAATAAAAGCAAGAAGACTAAAGAAGTTACAGAATCGGTTGCCAAGTACAAAAGGAGGACAGCAGAGTGCAAGTGTTAAAGAGGGGAGTGTGTCTGAGGACTGTGGTGAGTGCATTTAGCCAATACTACTGTCCATACTCTACATGCAGCGTTACTGTAACTGACCTCGCATATTAGACATTAGATTGGATACTGCTTATTCATTTATTTACTTGACTGTAGGTGTAGCAGACAGATAAACTATAGAAAAGACTAGATGAGAAAAGTCAGTCTTTTGGTGAAATGTGCATTTACAACCAAATCACCCAAAACAGGCATTTGGAAATACGGATTATGATTTACAAAAAATTTCTTATTAGTTTTCTCATAATTATCTCCTAAACTGATGTTTCCCCACTGTGGATCTTTTAATTTTAAAATGGATTAAGACAGATCAGTTTGTTATTTCTAAATGAGCCAAAAGTATGTGCAATACTTGCACATAATTACTCGACAGATAGACATGTATAGTGCAGAATCTTGATAGAGGCGAGGAGGCAGCTGACCCCATCACAAAAGGTACTTAGTGCACTTTGAGTTGCCTTGTGTGCTATATAAATAAACTTGCCTTGCCTTAGTGAACTATTAACACAATATTGCACTGTTTAGTAAAAGGCTAATATCTTCACGGATATGTAGACCGCAGGAAGACTAGCGACCACTAAATAAATAAACAAATGCATCTTTTCGTGCTTTTCCTTATGAGAGTTTTTTTTCATTGTTGGCTCAGATAAATTGACAGACGTGTTGAGCATCTACAACCCGGTTTTGAGCTGCATGGGTTTGGGCAAGAGGGAGAAGAAGCCCTTGCTCAGCTCTCCCTCAGCGCACTCGGACTGTCACTCACACCAACACTCGGAGGTGGACCAGGTCTGGAGCCCTCTGCAGAGCCCCTGTGAACTGTGCAGACCCCAGCACCAGAGCTGCCAGGAGCCCGGACACACATCCAGACACGAGCTGTGGGAGGGCGGCTCTGGCCTGTCGCTGCCTCGCGCCGCGGCTTGGGACCGCTTCGAGAGCCTGATCCAAGAACTGGACAGTAAAGAACCAGAGCCCTGCCTGCCACACATGGTCCGCTCCATCACTGACCTGGACCTCCACCAGGATCAAGTAAGATTCCTCTGAAAAACAATATATTTCATCATTATTATTCTCAGTGGCTATTTAAATTTATTAAGTTAAGCAAGCTATTTTGTTGTTTGCAAATGGCTTCATAAAGCTGGGGTACCTATCTTTCAAACTTTATGGACATTTATCAACACTTATGGACTTTGGTATTGGTCCATAATGCACAGATGACCAATGTGTTTTCTGTTTTATTGTTTGAACGGTTTTCTTCTCTGATCTGTGATGGCGAATTTAACAGTTTTGAAAAGATAAGATAAGATAAGAGTTCCTTTATTTGTCCCACAGTGGGGAAATTTCAATGTTGCAGCGCACATACAGGACAGTAGTAAGAGCACACAGGGAGAAAAGTCCTCCAAGATGACTACAGTTGTGATTTAGGGCAATACAAGCATACATTGGATTGAATTGAATTGAATTGAAACCATAAAAAAGTGAACCGTGTATTAAAATCGTATAAAAACCCCAAAACATTAAATAAATGTAACTAGTTCCTGGCTCGGTTTAGTTTCTCCACTAGTTTTCACATGAGCGTGTTCTTTAATCTCTGTCACATCTGTCAAAGCAGCTTTTTCAGAAAATGAAAAAGAGAGGACCACCCTCACTCAACCAATCACACAGACCCACAGACCTAAATAAAATGGTTTCTAAAAAGATAAAAACAGCATGTGTAGACTGATTTGTACTTTTTTTTTAACTTTCTGCTGTGACCAAAGAGCAACAGGTACCCCAGCTTTAAGTGCGGTGAGATTTCTCCGTATATTGAGGCAGCATTCAAGCCACATCAATTATGAGCAAAGCTGTGGTTATTACTTTTATATTCCTGGCATTGATGGAAAGCTTTTAATAAGAATGTCATGGGCTGGCTATCAAACAATCTCTGGCTGGTGCACGCATGTCCTCTGCACACATCTGTCCTTCACATAAACGGCCTTTGTGTGAAATAAGGTGGTTAGACTCCTGATATTCATAATATTATTATTATAATCTTTATTTCAGACTCAAGATAAAATTGGTCCATACAAAAAATAAAAGATAAACAATAAAAGGACAATGCATTCAAATATATAGTATCATTTCCAGCAGATTTAAATATGATAAAGTGTATCTGTCCAGTGTAATAGACACAATAGATGAGATTTTCTGTAACTTGAATTGGATCATATTGATATTGGTGTGTTTTGAAGATGTGAAAGACTACAAATATTGAAAAGTGACTGTACTCAACGGTAAACATTATGCTTTAGTTGTAGTTTTATAGTTTTGTGGAATACAGCATTACCATATATTTATTCATATCTGAAAACTATGAATATTACATGCCATTTCCGTGTCACAATCTCATGTGCAGAGCCAGCAGACTGAAGCCTCTATTTCCCAATTGTCATTCTGTTTATTTAGTTATTGTGGTTTGGTTCAGTTTATTCATTTCTTTTGTCACTAGTCAACAACAATAAACAAGTCCATAGTTTCAGGCTGAAGTCTTGCCTACCCCTCTTTACCAAAATCAAAATCAGTCGCACACGGTATAGCAAATGCGCAAGAGATTCAATTTAAAATCTCTGAACATATAAATCTCTGGACATATGACTTCACAAAAACAAGAGTATTTACACAAACATATTGCACCTGTATGTAGAAGTATATACCGTACATACAGTTGTGCCTGAAAGTTCACACACCCAGCCATAGAGCGCACTATTTTGGAGATTATGAATGACAACACACACATTATTTTCCCTTTACAAATCGTTAGTGGTCAATTTGTGTATTGTCAAATGAACTATTTACACATTGACTCAAATGAGCAGTTCATGTAAGGCAGCCCAGGAATTTACCAGAACTGAAGGAAATTTGCTCAGAGGAATGTGCAGCTTTACCATCAGAGAGGTTAGCGAATTGCATTTACAACAGAGGACCCCCGGCTGTCATGGATGTTAAAGGTGCATTCTGAAACTTTTCATGCAGTTGATACATTATTTTTTGGATTATTATTTTATCACATACAAAGTTGCATAATGCCACACATGCCGTGGAGAACTGGGGGATGGAAACTTCTAATCAGCGTGACAAGAGTAGTTTCTGTTATAATTTGAACATATTTATTGTCACGTTTTAATAATGGCAATGAATATAACAATAAATGGCTTCACACAACACACAAACAGGGGTCTGCAACCTGTAGCTCGCCAGCCCCTCTCAGGTAGCTCCCAAAAGGATTTAGAATTTAACACATGATCTTGAATGATTCACTTTTGACTCATTACACATCTATTATAAGTATAAATATAAGGTTGTACAGTATGGTATTTTTTTATATTATACAGTATATGTTTTCCATGTTTTACCATAATTATTACATAGATTTGTATTATGACCGCAAAAAGGAGTAGCTCTCTGCCTCTTCTGTCGTATAAAAGTATCTCTCCAATTGAAAAAGGTTGGAGACCCCTGCATTCAAAAATAAGTGGACATTTTTTTTTGTGTTTTCCGTAACCTCCAAAAATATGGGCAGAAAATGTACTGGGTTTGTAAACTTTCAAGCGCAACTGTATTTGCCGAACTTCAAATCTAGCAGAAGCTCTGGCTAATCTTTTTTTATTCCAATGTTTTTTTAGAGTAGTATATTTCTGTCAGTGGAATACAAAAATGCCACAGTTGTGTTTTATTTAGGACAGTTTTAATGTTGTTGCTTATCCATCCTCTAACAGTCCACGCTGGGAGTGAGCCAGCAGCGCGTGTAACAGCTGCTGCGAGAGGCGCGCAGAATGACCGCTAAAGTAAAGTTAATGGCCAACCGCTAAGGAGAGCCTCATTGCTTTCATCCTGCCTCCACCATTTGGCCACTAACAGTTCATTATGCCCAAACAATAACAGAATATGCATCAACAAAATGGTGCAAATAAAGGAGACAGGGGCAGCGCCATGACAGGCAGTAAAAAAATAGTGTGCCATGGTGTTACGCTAATTGAGGGAAAATGTTACAAATGGGAATAATAAACACGGACTGGGGTCGATGGCGTGAGTGGGCAGATAACATGCCATCTGTCAGGAGAAAACACACAAACACACACACGTTTTAATCTGTCTTTGACCCAAACAGTGGAACAGATTTGAGAGATTTGACGCCTTCAGACAGCAGTGGCCTTTGACGACGGAGCAGGATAATGGATGGGGTTGCACAGTAAGAGAAAGATCTTAAATCTCCCAGTCTTTGTTTCTGTGTATCTGCTTTCATTAAAGATTTCAGGAAGTAAACGTGTGCCATGTGATGTAGAATCTTACTGCGATGTACAGTAATAGGGTTTTTTTAATCAATGGTCACTTTCTCTTTTCTGCCAAAACAGATGTATCCAGAGGGAAAGTTAAACATCGCATGTCGAAAGAAGGAGGCCGAGGTGGAATCGCAAAAAGGCAGAAAGCCATCGAAGACGGGAGATGCCATTAATGTAAATAAATATATGAAAACGCACAACATTCATTCAGTTTAGTGCCTCCCTGGCAAATATCACAATTCTTATCATAATTTCATTTCTAAATTATATATAGTAATTACACAGCACAACGCGAAAATATAGACTAGAGATGATTTCACTGTATTTATCTATTGCACCGTTTTTGTGTGTGTCTTTTTTACTCATGCAGGCTGAAAATACTTAACAAAATATTATATGTGTTTCTTGTTTAAAGAAATTATCCACTGGCAGATAATTTAGCTTGGAACAAATATATTTTCTCTTATATTAGCTATTTTTTCTTGTATTTTGGAGCCACTTTTTGCAGTGATAGTGCTTTTCTGGACACCCAAAGACATTTCACATTGCATTATTCATTAACTCTGCACTTGGTGGTGGTAAACTAATGCTATAGTCACAGATGCCCTGGGGCTGACAGGAGTGAGGAAAGTAATTGGTCACCTGTCAGCATGGTGGCAGAGTGGTTGGTATTCTTGTTTGTCAGCAAGAAGGTCCTGGGTTGAATCCCGGTCAGATCTACGCCTTTCTGAGTGGAGTTTGCATGTTCTCCCTATGTGCATCCAGGTGCTTTGGTTTGCCCTACCATTAAAACATGTACAACAGGTAAAAACCATCCAGCTCTGGTCCTGACCGAGCCAAGTATCAACATCTGGAGCTGCACTGTGGTGTGGAGGGTCTTGCCTAAGGACACATGGTCATTATGTATTTATTTATTTATTCGTACAGCCCCTTGAGATGAATGAATTAAGATTGCTATTTCACCTAAAGTTTGAGAAACTAAGCTGAGTTAAGTGTGGTTCATAATGGGATGGGAGACCAGTATAAAGTGAGAGATTACTTACTCTGGTAATTATTATAGCGGATTTCACGGGCCAAGGTCACACAAAGCGCTTTACGATTCTTGTTGTAAGATGGGAAATGGAAGGCTTGGCTCATGAATGCCGTGACTCTTAGAAGACCTTAATTACATTCAATTTTTTACACAATTTTTTATCTGCAAGTTTAGAATATCATTATATTCAGAAGGACACAAAACATTCCAGCTTAATTCAAACTATAATACTTCAGTGACATGTGTTTTGTTCATATTAGTGTCTTCAAGTTATTTTCATGATATTTCCATGAACGAGGCCCATTACTGTTCTGTCCTTTGGCAAGACACTTCACTAGTTCACACTTTTTTCACCATTAAACATACAGCATAACGAGCCACATTTTATTTAATCCTTTTTTCCCATTATCCTCCCCTTGAGCCAAAAAAAGTCAAATGAAGCAAAGAAAAAATAAAATAAGACACTTCTTATTCATTAGTATAGATTAGTTTACTTTTTTTGCAAACACTTAAAAGTCTGTATCCGTGCCAGCCGTCCAGTAATTTAGTTTTTTAACATTATCGATGTCCTCTGATTAAACCCTTCTGTTTTATTTAAATTTGACCTGACACATTTCTTACAACAAAAAGCATTAATCTTTCACAGTCACCAGTGTAATCTTCCTCTTACCCACTCCTCACTTGCCGTTGCCCCACTTCTGAAACTATGTCAAACGCCCTGAGAATGAGAATCTTGCCTGTTTTGGAGGAGCAGAGACAAAAGCAGAGAGCACATGTAGTTGGGGATTACTCTGGTCTCTCGCACACCTTTAGGTTCCGTGCTATAAAAAGCTATAAACAACTCTCTGAAGGATAAGCTGCAGTTCTTGTCACACACAGCAGCAGAGACACCGAGCTCCTCCGTCACATGTGGAATCAAGCAGCAGCAGATTTACAGCCCCCAGTCAGCACTTTTTTGTGTGCTGTGCAAGAAAATGTGACTTGATTTGCAGGAGAGGAGTGTCTGTGTTTAATGTAGATAGCATAGTATTCAGAAGGAGCGGGCTTTTATAGTCCAAACATCATCACGAAAGGCATATTTTGACAAGCAAGAGTCTTACATTAAGCACTTTGAGCGAGGAAAGTGCTGACTACCTGAGAACAGACACACATTACTGAGGAAAATGTATAAAAACACAACTTTGGGCTAAAGCGTGCATATTATAGAGTAACTTTAAACTCTTTACCCTTTGCACATTAGAACTGCACAATCACTCCAGCACTTTAAATTCTAGCTTAAGACGCACTTTTTCTCTTCGGCTTTTAATACCAGGTAGAAAGATACAAGTTTTCAGTTTTGTATGTGTTTATATTGCTATATTTTTATATGTTTTTATTGTACTGTCTTTTCTGTCTTGTCCCGTACTTTTGTAAGCCTAGGCTGTTGTAAATGTGATAAATTGACTTTTCGTCCGCGTGTTCCAGCGGGTTGCAAAAGTGCCAAGTGCCTTTGTTGATTAAAATAACAAAATCTTTGCACACTGTTAACTTGCTGTCACTTTGCCTCTGACCAGGGACGACGGAAGAAAATGAGCTTGTAGATATGTCCAGTCAAAACAATACAAGAATTGCGCAATGTCCGTGCAAAAAATTATCAATTAAGAAGTAATAAATTTAAAAAAATAAAAACATATTATCACTCATTTTGCTTTCACTTCACATTTGTGGTCTTTCAATAAGAACATCTTAATCTATGTTTGTGGTTGTAGACATGACAAAAAGCTGTATTGGCACTTTTGCAACCCACCGGAACACGGTGAGAGTGCATACATTATTGACGATGACATATAAGTGAATTCCAAATGTTGTTTTGCAGGTGACCCAGAATCTTCATGGAGAACCCACCAAAGCGCACCATAACTCCCTGGAGAGTCTGTACAGCAGCGGACAGAGCTCATCCAGTAAGAAGCCCTCACCTCTGACCCCAATGTTCTCATCACTAACTGACCGTAATGCAGCTCAGTGACCGGCCTCTCAATGGGCACTGACAACAAACAAACACAAATCTACATGAGACTAGTAGGGTTGTCAAAAGTAACAACAATCGGATATGAATCGATATGAAAACTAGTACTGAAACTAGTTAGGCAAGGCAAGTTTAATTGTATAGCACAGTTCACACAAGGTAACTCTTAAGTTCTTAACAACACAAAAATACAAAGTAATATTGTGAAATAAAAGGACAAACAGGATAAAATGTGAGAAAAATCTATACCAGAACTAATACAAAACATCACAGTACCATGAAAAGCACTATAGTAAAATGTTCAAGGTTATAAAATCCAGCTCATTGTTAAAAGAAAGTTGTAAAATCATCATCACTATTGAGTATTTATTTTTATTAGTATTGAAATTGAGTTTGTAATGATTGTAATAAGCACAAATCACATAATAAAAGTATTTTTAAATGGGTATATCTTAATTTAACAATCCACAAAATTAAATAGACATAAAGCCACATTGTTGTCTGGCATTTAAACATTCTGTTACAGTTTCAAACACAGAGTGGTTACTGACACTTTCACTGGGATCTGGATGTAGACGGGAGGCAGGGATGTGAATGTGCATTATTGAGCATTTCCTGGACTTGACGGTGTTGTTCCCGGGCTCAGGTGGAGTCACCAGTGGATCAAACTGCTCCAGTAACAGAACCAGTCTGAGGCTGGACGAGGAGCTGTCCTCCCCCAGAACCTTCTGTGGACGAGCCAGAGTGCATACAGACTTTGAGCCCAGTCCATACGACACGGACTCCCTCAAACTCAAGGTAGACATCGGCATGTACTGTGCAGTAAAACGCTATCACTAATAAAGGATATTAATCTATTTTCAAAATTCAATTGTGCTTCATGTAATTCTGGAAATACATATACTTTCTATTTGTGGAATGGTCCATAGTATATCTCTATGGAAACAACAGACAAGCATGTTTTTATGTTTTTCTGCCATGGTGCAGGGGTTCCCAAACTGTTCAGACTCAGACCTCCAAAATAGGCATGACGGAAAACAATTTAATATCTAGCGTCAAAACATGGTATATTTGTATTACTGTTGTTGTATGAAAAAATATTATAGAGACATTGACCCTCAACTTGTGTCATGCAACCTCCACTTTTGGAACAACTGATTGTGGACCATTCCAGAAAAAAATATTGTTCAAGTAAAAAAACAATTGAGTTTCACTTTGGATTGATTTATAAGAGATTGAAGCAATGTATTGAGCACATAGAAACCAATTTCCTGTGAAAATGTGTTCCAGGTCGGAGACGTGATCGACATCATATCCAAGCCTGCTATGGGAACATGGACAGGGATGATCAACAACAAAATAGGTTTCTTTAAATTTATCTACGTGGACTTGTTAAAAGAAGAGGCCAAAACTGGAGATTCGAGCTTTCACGAATTACTAGAGCGCTTCGATTTGGAGGTATTGAGTTTGGTATTTTGTTCCTTTGTATTCTAATAGGGACTCTCTAAAATCTTGGTATTTCAGCCCAAGGTAAATAGTCACATCCATCCATCCATCCATTTTCTACCCTTTAATCCATTTCTGGGTCGGGGTGGTGGCAGTCAGAGATGCCACCCAAGTCTCATAGCACCAGCCCCTCACTGACCCTCTGCAGGTGGTGAGTCCACAGGAGGATGGCTGCTCTCTGAGTGTGAGCATAGCCTTGATCTTTCAGTGGGGGCTTTGGGCAAAGTGGGGTTAAGTGTCTTGCCCAAGGACACGACGACAGCAGTCATCAGTGGGAGTCGATGGAGAAGGTGCAGAGGTGGGAATTGAACCCACGACCTTCTGGCCTTAAGGCCAATGCTCTACCAACTGAGCTACTGTCGCCTGTTTACATGTGACTGTAAATAGTCACATGTTGTTGTTATTTATTGAATTAAATTGGTATCTAATATTGAATTAAATTGTCACCTGCGGACTGCCCCGCCCGACCCGCCTGGGAGTGCTTCAGTCCTGCACCGGACCTGTCCACGTTCAGCGTCCACTGGTCCACGTTCTGTAGCTAGCTTAGGTCCTAGATCATTAGCCTGTCCGTCCGGAGGAGCGGATCCCTTTCTCATATGGGTCTCCCTCCCTGTGGGTTTCCCTAGTGCTCCCCAAGGTTTCTCACTTTTTCCCACTGGGTTTTTTAAGAGTTTTTCCTTGTCGATGCAGGAGGGTCTTGTTGGACAGTTAGTGTCCAACAGAAAGGATTGGTGATGATCAGGACACTTTAGCATTCTACAACATGTATGGACATTTTCTTCTGTGTGTGCTTTATATTCTCCATGTGTTTTGGCTGTTGATTCTCTGACCTGTGTTGGTGATTTCAATGGTTTTGTTAAGTCCTCTGAGATGACTTCTGTTGTGACCTAGGGCTATACAAGAATAAATTGTATTGTATTGTATTGTAATTGGTATCTAATAGTTCGAGTCTTGTTAAGGTTAGGGTAAAGGTAAGGTTAGGAAAACTTAAATTGCTTAAGGTGGGAAATAAAGCAAGGGTTACGAAATACCAAGATCATAGGTAGTGCCGTGTTCTAATCAGCCATATAAAGTAACCATGTCTTTGCTAGGAGTACGCTCTGAGGTTGAAGTCCCACGGTTATGAGGCGGCTGCAGAATTGGTGAAGCTGAGGGAGCATCACCTGACGGAGCTGGAAGTGACTGATCCCGAACACAGACGGAGACTCCTCCTCGCTGTCAGCTCCCTCAGGCCTCTGCGCTGTGAGTGAGAAGCGAAAGAGAAAAGGGCACCCAAGGACACTCTTATCATCGCACGCCTCACCACACGATAAAAGGGCTCAAAATAATACCATTACAACTGTGCACGCCGATAAGCAGCGATGGAGAGAATACTTTGAACATGGATTTAGTTACTACTACTTTCATCTGGTGTGTGCGTCGCAATAGACATTAGAGAGTTAAAGCTGGGCGAACCAAACTCTCAAATCCCAACAAAATAAAATATGTGTTCAAATCTCACTTGTTCCTCGCTCTCAAAACACTTGAATGAATAGTAATAATAATGCATCGCTTTAAGATGAGGTTTTTGGAGACTCAAAGACACTCAAAGTAAACTTTTTTTCCTCCCCTCCAAAGACGCTACATAAGCTACTATTGTGGTCACAGCTGTCCCGGGGCAGACTGACGCATTTAACCAGTATGTGTCATCAGCCCCTCCAAGCACCGGCAATCATTCACACGGACACACCAGGTGCATAGTAGGAATACCAGGAGGTGCACCACTGTGGCACCTGGTGTTCCCTGAGGTCTCCCATCACAGTTCTAACCAGGTCCTGTCCAGCTTAGCTTCAGAGGTCTGACAGATTCTGGCTCTCACCTGCTTTACAGATAGTTCAGCCAATCATCCAATGCGTCGCTGGGCCATTTCTTACAAGTACGCATAACACAACATTTATATTAAGGAGCCACTTGAGGTCCTATTTGTTTAACCTATTTAACTTTTAAAAGCTAACTTAAAGAAACAAAAAAGTTAGGTACCCCAGCTTTAACTTCATAAAATGAAATCATCGTGAACTAATCCATCAAACAATAATTCTGTGCAGTTTGAAGCCAACTTCTCTATATTAAAAGACTGCAATGTTTTTGTTTTTTTTCTCTGAGGAAAGGCAGCTATACTCTGAATACCAGCAAATGGGAATAACAGTATTTAAACACCCACGCGCACACACGCGCACACACACGCACACACACACACACACACACACCCCAAAATGTATTAAATCTGCCTCCCATACCTCCACTTATTCCTTGTCTGTATGAATTTCATGTAAATATTGATTTGCATTGTTTCTGTATAATGCAATTTGTCACTTTTGTTCTTCAAGCTTTCAATAAAGATAATAATAATAAAAATAAAAATAAATCTCATTTAAGGTTACTGTTCTTCTGTTTGCAGCGGAGAGTGAGGAGGCCGTGTATGAGAACGTAAAGAGTTGCCCCCGGGACTCGGGCTGCGGTCTGGTCTGTCCCGACTCCATGGAACTCCATTCTCCGTGTGAACAAACAGACGAGAGCAGTCTTTTGTAAGAGTGAAAATAAACAGATGTATATTTTTGTTATGATGTTTATTGTGCAGTTTATGCGGTGTGAGCATTGTTGGGTTTTATAGTTTATTTTCATGACATGTTTTTTGTGTATTTGTATGTGACGGACCAATAAAACTCTTTTAATATAATTGAGCCATTGTAATTGTTTGGCTAATAGCAATTCTAAAACAATCCACATTTATGATTTACCTGACAGATTTTTGTGATGATTTCTTCAGGTAAAGTGTTCAAACTCAAACTTTAGATACATCCCATAATATTATGTATGTCATTGGTTGTATTTAGTAAAAAAAAAAAAGTGGTGCACTGTCTGTAGTATAAAAACACATTGATGTATTCATACAAAAGAAAAGACAAATAATGTTTTGATTTGGGTCTTTTTCTAAAATTGTACAGCGTTTATTCCAACACTCTATGCGTCTTTTTGAAGCTACAAATAACACTCCAAAATAGTACAAGATTAGGAAAAAGGCAACCATGTGAACTATCTACATAGAAATATCATCTGTCCGACAAAGATATCACAGACCTCCAACTGGTACAGTGAGTACAAAATACTGTGGTTCATACTCTTATAAAAAAGATATGTACCACCTTCTGCAGACAGGCTGTTAGATTATTTGGGGTTCCACAGCATCTGAAAGTCTGTGCTGTGAAGTATTACAACAGTCCTCCATGCATGTAGCTTGCGTATCCATTTTCAGGGTGAAGGGAAATCTCCTCTGAACTGGAGCGTCCGTTGCTGAGCTCTGGAAAAGACGTACAAAAATCTATGTTTATCGTCCCCCAGTGAGATATAATGCATTTTCCATCAATAAAACAGTCTTGTGTTGAAACATCACGTTTGGCATGTGTCCAACAGTAACTCCTCTACAACCACTTCCATCTCTATAAAAACACTCTTACTCTATAAGGAAGAAAGACTGCGCACCTGAGAATATGAGCTTTTCTTTCATGATGTTGACCTCTCGGGTTTGTGGGCGGCCAACCACATTCAGCACTATCTGCTCAGGGTTACAACTCTGGATCCCACTCATCTTCCACCTGAATACAGGGAAATACAACATAAGATCAGAACATGGCAGTAAATAAAAATGATATTTCTACTAAAAAGTGAGTCGGAGTGAAAGGATCAGGGGCTTGGCCTTGATGCGTTGGACATAAAAGGCTCAGGGAAGAAAGGACAAGGCGGAGGTGGCAGCGGTTACCTGATCATATGATAGCTGACAGGTGCCAGAGGCCAGTGCACCAAGGGTGTATGCAGATTAAGGACAGACAAAAAGAAGCAAAACAAAAACATCCACACACAAGCAGCAGCAAAAGAAGAAAAGAAGAATGAGTGATGATTTGAAGGTGAAACAGACTGCATAAAGGACAAACAAAAGAGTAAGCATTCACAACTGCAATATTTATACAACAAGGCCAGTATAATTGTACACCATTTGGGTTGTTTATGCCTTTACTTAAACAGTTGGCATAGACAGGATGACTGAGATAAATGTTAAATCTATGTATGAATTATACGTCTTTGACTTTGCTCATATCCTTGGACTTACTTTTGAAAGGAGAAAATCACAAGGACGACAGCCAGTGACAATAGATCTGAGGCGATCCAGATGAAGTAGTAAGCAGTCTGGCTCTGTAGGACATGAGAGATAGAAGAGTCAATTCCACCCAGCGCCACTGGAGGTCACCGTCAGCACTGTGTCTCCAGGCACTGACTAATGCAAAAAGCTGCCAGACAGCTGCTTTTTGGTCTCTTTGTGCCCTTGTCTAAAGCTGTGTAGCCTGTCCCTGCCTCCATCGCAGCGTGCTGTTATTCCCTTGTACCACGCTGAGCTGAAGGCTGCCCACAAGCTCCCGCCCCATTTCTCTAGTGTCCTTGCCCTCCAGTCTAGCGTGGCCCCCTCGTCCGTCTCTGTCCTCTCTCCTGCTGTCCCCTTGTCTCGCTGCGTGACCTTGCCTCTGTGGTGTTTGAGTGTGTGTGTGTGTGCTGAGAGCAGATGAGAGTGAGAAGGAGTGTTTACCATAAGCCAGATGGGGTAAGGCACCTTTCGAAGGACTTGGGGAGCATCAGAGGACACGGAAGGCACCCCACTACACCACAACGTGGAGTAGAGCCAGGCCTCGTTCACTGGGTACACGGTCACGCTCACGTTGTTGGCCAGATACTCCCTGGGGGTGAGGAAAGACACTAGTCATTCCTGACAAAATATGGCTTTCCTTTCAGCACTTGGCACCTTTTGCTTCTCTGTCACATAACTCTACATCAAAACAGGCACTTTTACAGGCCCAGTAAATACGGTCATTTTCAGCGTTCATAAATCACACATGCAGACTGGGAATCTTAAGCAGAGTTGAGAAAAGTTTACATTGCATTATCGACATTGTAACTTTGAGCTGTTGCCCGTGTGCAAGGCTGTCTGTCAGGAGGGTCATTTGTCTTACTGTATGTCTTTGTGGTTGGCCTTGCTGTAGTGGAGGGTCAGGCTTGTAATTCCCCGTTGCCTCATTTCTTGCACTGACAGCTTCTCTTGGGCGGTCTGCTGAAAGCCCCGCACCCTCCCTCTGTCGCTGTCCGGGCTCCATGTCACCTGTCCCCAACACAAGGGACACATCACATGAGACAGACTTTTGTATCTGTTTTATTGCAAAAGCCAAAGCTGCACTTGCTTCATATATGGTGTTAAACTCACTGCTCACATGTACTGTTTATATCAAAGAAGACATGTGGGTTCTCATTATATTAATTGAACACTTTGAGTCTTATTTAAATGAAGAATGAGACTAAAATAAAATGAAAAATGATTGATTAGCAAATCCATGTGTCAAAGATCAAACCCCAGCATTATTAAAGCAATCACATCTTTACTCTTAATTTCAGGAGAATATATATGATTGAAACATGTTTGTGTGTAGCATACTGTTTAGGAATTTGATTGGATCTTTCTCAGATCACCTGTCCAATGACTGCAGATGTAAATTAATGCAGAGCTTCTTTTCAAGATTCAATGTTTCTGTGCACTATTCTTATATTCAAATAAACCAATTAATAATAATTAATAATATGTATCACTCTCAGAACAACTTGCAGTGGGTAAATAAGGGAAATGTTTCATTAACTTTGTCCAGGAAACACAGACTCAGCCTGGGATGAGTAGAGTAGACAGGCGCAGAGAAAGGCCCGTGGTATTATTGGCTCATTGAGTTATGAAACCGTCTTAGTTACACTTTGTAAACTATTGCACTTTACATATTTGCACATGAGCATTCTACTGCATGTTTAGAGAACTTATACATTATTTACACTTCCAGCATCTAATACATCAAGTCTAAAACAATGACCTCCTTTGAGACATCCCAATATTTGGTGCTTATGATTCTCAATGTACTTTTACTATATTCTTTTATTTTTGAAATGTTTTCTTTCTGCATTAGAGAAAGCTTTGATCATTAAACTATGATATTCATTTTTATACACATATCAATTACCTATGTTTTTAAGAACAGCAAGTTGGTGTGATAAGGGATAGTATTTAACATTTAGTAATGAATACATGACCTAGTGAATGAAAACAGGTAGAAAGATGATGAAGTTGACATACAGTCCTCACCCTCTTGGTGGGGAAGCCTGCCTTCTGCACGGCCCACAGTGTGTCCATGAACCAGCTCCGGGCGCGGGGGTGCTGGGCTGGGGGCTTCCGGATGTTCAGCAGAGCAGAGGCATTTGCTCTAGCTGCGAGTCGTAACATGTCAACCAGACTGCACACCGTCTGGTTCTCTATCCTCGCCCTGTCCTTCGCTGTGAGGGTGCCAGCTGTCCAGAAGGGGTCACTCTAGAGCAGGACAACAGAAAAACACAAAACTCTTTGAACACTAATAACTGGAGCAAAATGAAAAGGCGAGCAGTACATTAATAAAGGAAACAATTACAAAAGAATAGACATGCAACAAATTATAGCAATAAAGTTGGTCGTCTTGTTGTTTCATAGACAGAGTTCAAGAAACATTTTGTGAATAAATCCAACCATGTTTTAACAAAAAAAAACCTAAGTGTGAGCTGAGTGAAGGTGGTTCTCTTTTCTGTCTGGAAAATCTGATCTAAATGTTTTTAACTGTTTTATTGTTTTAATGCATAAATGTTTTAATGGATTTTATGTAATTTTATTGTGTCTTTGGTCGCCTTGAGTGTTCTAAAGGGCTCTATAAATAAAATGGATTGATTGACAGACTGAGGGTAATATGATGTGCATATGACAAAAACTAGTGATGGAACCAAACTGTTTGAGAGCAAGGACCCTCAGCTTTAAGCTTTTATGGTAAGAAATATACAAGTTACCTTTAGAAACCACTGGCCAGCATTGAGAGTGCGTATTTCTGTCCAGTTGAAGAACGAAGCATCTTCATATTGTCTCGATGGAAAGATCTTTCTAACATCTGTAGTCCGCCTCAAAGTGTGATCTCGCATCAGGAATGGGACACCATCCACACTGTAAAACACAAAAACAAATATTTGACAGTGGAAGATTCTGTTTATGAATAGGATAAACTACATTTGGTCTGCGTGTGAAGTCAAGCTATTGGATCTACAAAACCCCTAAATGGGCTTTTACAGTGAGCCTAAACAATGTACTGCTGCAGGACAGTGCGTGCCCTCCTGACCTGATGGTGACGTCAGCCTGCAGGGAGGTGGCCCCCTGCTGCAGCGCTCGGTTGAAGGACAGCACAGTGTTCTCTGGAGCCAGCTACAAGACAAACACAAGGACAACGGGAAATGATGACCTTCAATAACGTAAACATGTTGCAGTGTTGAGATTCATACTATTTTTTTGATTTTCACTTATTTATTTCTTACTTTTCTTTTAAAGTTTATTTTTGTTTTTTTGAGTCGCTCTTGCTGATGCTGGAGGGTCAAAGGACGTTGATTATCCGGGACATTTAGGGGCATTTATGGACAGTGGTCATCCTGCACCCTGTGGATCAATGGCTCCTATATGTATTACCTGGGTTTGAACTGCTTTATTCTCTGATCTGTTCTACAAGACGACTGCTGCTGTGGTTTACGATTATACAAAAATACATTGAATTGAATTAAACAGTAAATAGCTGGTGTCATAAAGAAGGAGAAAAGAGAGACATAGGCCCAGAGTCAATCTGACTTGTTTAGGCACACGTTCAGTTCTGAAAAACAATAATTATTGCAGACAATACAACTATGCCACTATGCAGTATACTCCCAAAAACAATCCCACAGACAAACTGCTTTCTCTCACTACATCAGTCAGGCTCTAGGCAACTGTGGCTACAATAGTGGCTTGCAACCACCGTTCATATTTTGATATCGATATTGAGAAAAGAACATTATTAATATAAAAAAGCAGCAAAATAACAAACAATATTGATTTCCCCGCGCTCTCCCTGCATGTACACCAGAGTTAAACTTGAATGCATTATTGTTGGAGTCAAACTCTCAAGTCTTTGTGAATGTGATGTCACAAATACTGCAAGCAAGGTAAACCACTACGACCAGACCATCACTAACCTTTTTTCATGCTGTGGATCTACAGCTTAAGCCGACCAATAACAGACAGATATAATAATATATAACCCATATCGTCCTATCAAGATATCTGCCAGGAATATCAATAAAAAGGTTTTCCATTTTGTGCGACCCTCCTCTTTGTGAAAAACATATGATACTCTACTAAAGTTCAGGTGGGACGGTGCAGACTATTCAACCCAGTGTACTTTTGAACTAGTAAAAGGATCAGACTGGGGGTCTGGCCGAGCACCAACTCACCATGGGAGCTCCGCGACGCCCGACGATTTCTGGCCGCGCCTTGAGGCTGTTGCGGTCCATGACACAGGGGCAGGTAAACAAGAGCGGAGCCAAATACAGAGCCACCAGAATTACCATATACACCACCAGAACCATCATCTGGAAATCTGACCACAGAGAGATACAGTAAGGATTCATACGATACGAGTGAATCAAATGTATTCATGAAAAAAAACACTGGATACATACGAGATCTCTCTTTTCGAACCACATATCCAGCAACCAACCAGCCGACAGCCGTGACAGTTGCCAAGGCGCCGATGTGTAGAAAAGGTGCAGTGGCCTGAAATGATTCCATTCTGGTCATTACAGCGGTCAACATTCATGCAAGATGAGTTGTACATTTATTGTATGTAGCTTAGATTTTACAGTGGAATCCATTCCTGAGCCACAAAGGCAGTTTATCACTAATTAGTCCTTTTTTTTTATGAACAAACCTGCAATGAAATAAATAGGATTTCCCACTCATCTCCCCATATGTCATCCACAGACACTACTCCAGATATGGTGGTCGCCAATGTCGCTAACACGCCGATCTGAAAGGCACAGAAGTTCAAAATAAGAACACTGAAAGGAGTAATGCATGACTTTTGAAGTGGATGCTTGACCATCTGATTTTGTTTGCATATTTTTAAACTTGACCTTATAAAAACAAAGTGAAAGTAACCCCTTAGGACTGAAAAACCAGCACTGCTATAGCCACTTTTTATTGTACATAATTATATCCTGCACAGACTATATTTTTAACCATAACATTGCACACTTCTGTCTTTTGCACAATCTGAGAGATTCTATCAATGCCAAATGTGTCGTGTAAATTTCTCCATTGTGAGATTAATAAAGTTAATCTTATCTCACGACTCAGTGTTGCATCATAATTGGTCTAAAATGCCTGAGAAAACAGTAAGTAAAAAAATCAAATTGAATCTGGTTTAGGACCTTTTGTTAAACTGAGGCCTGTGATAACTCATTTACTGTATATATAAGTGGGAAAAATCTCTGCATAGAACAAGTCCTAAAGCCCTAAATATTTTTTGATAAATATAAAGGAGGGTACAGTTGGTGGCTGGGGGTTGGGGGTTGGGTCTGTATAATTCCCTTTTCACATCTGAGAAACATTTACTGTACTTGATACTAGGCACAACTCTATACAAAGTCAATTTTGTCCCACAATTAGGCCACACTTGAATAAAGGCAGCGGGGTTTCATGTTGTAATGTAAAACTTAACCAACAGCTGAGCAAAACAAAGCCGATAGAAGACTGTTTTAAAACATAATAATCAAAACTAAAACTTGAGTCAAAATAATAGGTCCATGAACTCCGTCACATGTAAACAAATCACATGTAAATGCACTTCTTTGTGTCTCTCTGTTCAGATAAACTACTGGAGCCTTCATTAGATCAACACCAGATACAAATGTGTCAGAATCCCTTCCCAGGAAAACTTTACAGCCACAAAAGAATTATTTCTGCACATTTTTTTTTATTTTTGCATTCCCGATACATGTTTATTTTGCAAGTAAGACGATGTGTGCGGGTACCAAGAAATGGGCTGCTTGGGATAGAGATCCAGAGTCACTCGTACTTGTAAATAAATGCTAATTCTTTCAAAAATGGTGCTGGAAAGTCAGACAAGTGGAATATTGATCAAGACCCCTCAGCCAAAAGTTATGCATTTCACTACTATATTTTAAGTTTTAAGCTGAAATACCTTGTGCACCCAGTATAGATTCAGTTGTTGACCAAGAGAAATGTGGAAAAGCGCTAAAATCTGAGGAAGACAGAGTCAGAGGTCAGTCAAAATTCTCCTTAAATGCAAATAATATAAAGAAAAAACCGTTGATTTACCACTAAGAATGTAATGTAGCTGATGCCCACAGAGGTCGAGGCTGCGATGGGAATGGTCTCATCTGTCCATTCACCAGAGCGGTTGTACACTGACCTGTAGCATTTCCGATTCAGATTCATTTTGTTTGTCATTTGCCGTAAAACCACATTGGAATACATTTGCAAAAGTCCCCAGTGTGCACAAGACAAGTACATACATAAAACGAGGTTAAAAGTAGGGATGCACCAAATCCAGACTTTTGGGGTTCGACCGAATACCGAATCCACTGCTTAATATTCTGCCGAAGCCGAAACCGAATACCGAATCCGTCTCCATCCTCGGCATTGCAAATTGAACATGTAGCTCGACTATAATAGTACTGCCAAACAACACTTTTTCAGCTCACGAGTTCCATTTTCACATTCTTCCTCACACAGCCTGAGCTACTGCATTCGAACGGGCCTTCTACGTAAACACCTTCCTCTAATCAACGGCGGCGTCATGATGTCGACCAGCGTAGCGCGCACAGTGTCAGCGTAGGGTTTGGTTCGGTGGGAATAATTCGAAGGTTCGGCAGAAACCGAACACCGTCAAAAAATCCAATATTCGGCCAAATTCGAAACCAAATCCTGGATTCGGTGCATCCCTAGTTAAAAGTACAGGAATAAAACAAACCACAAAAAGGAAACATTTTCACCACACAATGTTGTATTTTCATCTTTTAAGTGGAGAAATGACAACACAATAACAATATCTTACCAGTTGAAGTCGTTGAAGTCATTTTGAGCAACAAACCAGAAGTATGTCCAGAAGAGGAGGAGGAAGAAGGAGCAGCACAGGATGGTGAACCATAAGCACTCCCACTGCAGAGTACAGACGCACACAGTCACACACACATATAAACACACACACACAGTTTTACATCAGCATTCTGTAAAAAACAGTGAATGTTAGTGAGTCAAAGCATTCTAAATCTACTTTTATATTATTACCTTCTTTTCCACTTCCAGAATTTGAGTATTTTTGTGCTGGTAAATCCAGATTTGATTTAGTTTAGTACAGTTTGATCATATTTGAAAGAAACTGATTCGAAACTCGCACTGCTATAGTCACTTTTAATTTTATTGTATTTAATATTCCTTGTACAAAAGAGACTATATTTTAACCTTTTAACGTGTTTGCACACTTCCTGTATTTTTGCACACCCTGAGTGTTTCAATTGATGCCATTGTGAGATCAAGAAAGTTTATCTTATCTTATAGTAAATGTATACATATATTGCCTGTACAAATAATATTAAGTGAGGTAAATAGGAGTGGTGGTTATTTCAGGATGGAGCTGCAAATTGGGGGATCTTTGGTGTCTGAAGGTATGATTCTCCATTTCTAAAAATCCAAAAATAAAAAATGCGTAGACACGATGAAAGCAAAATCTTTTCCTGAACCTCGACGCTCCATCCACTTTTCCTCTCAATACCCTCCTTCCCGTGGGTGTATCGTAAAAGCTCCCAGGAATTACAGTAGCAGTAACTTTGTAATAAAAAGGTCAAAAATGGCTTACAGTAACAAAGTTGGCTGCAGCACTTTGTGAGGACTGAGGACATGCCACTGAAGGACATTTCCCTTCAGTAGTTAACAGGATTAGCAGCTAACACCATGTGGGGGAATGTGTCGAATATGATCGGTCACTCACTGGATCCTATAGAGCATTAATCAGCTTACCAACCCACTGCGACTGCACCTCACACCAGAACCACAGAAAGACCAGCGTGAGAGCAAAAACATGATTTAAGTCTTGCTTCTATCCTTTATGTTTAAATCATGTTTGTTTCCTGAAGAGGCTGAGTAAGTTCTGCCTTGTACTGTATATGAGCTGTCAAGCCTGTTTTGATGATCTTTCTATGGAACAGTGTGGGTTTTGTATTTGAATGTCACTCAGCGTATGAGAGAACACAATGCTGCAGCTATGTTCTCAGATACTCGGTCAGAAGTAGTTCAAACATTTGTTTTGTCTTTAATGAAACACATGTTATATTATCCAGCGGCAGTAGCCAGAGAGCCTTGTGTCTGGCTTCTCTCTGCTTACACACTGTGGCTTCTGCAACACAATCCAGGCTTTAGGAAACCTGATGATGAAGTTTGTTTTGGAAACCCACATTTACATGTGTTCAGAATGGTGGCATGACACAAATGCTTTTGAGAGGAAATGGTTTTTAACAAAGATGAATGACATCACTCAATGAGCCATTACGGATGTAGACCCCAGTAACTTATTGGATGAAGTTGGGTTTACATTGACAGCAAAGAGCAGTTTAAAATGCTGGCTCTACCACTACAACGTTGATATATGTCTATAATATTAGAAATGCCTTTCAAATTCAAAAAGCTTTATTGTCTGTTCATAAAAACTTATATTTGTCCATTTTGGAGATTTCATGACACTTTGAAGTAACTGTGGTTAAAGTTAAACATTCTAACAATACACAGTACTTTTCCACCACAGGTTTTGGTTATATCAAGGCCAAGCTACTAGTACGGTGGCGAATCCCAGCCTTCTGTACTTTTTATTCAATACTATTTTTTTAAATTAAAAATAAAAATAAGATCTTAAACTAACACTCAAGATTACCTTGGAGGTGCTGTCTTGGGAACGCTGATAACGCTTCCAGCGGCAACCATAGATGCCAGTGACAAAGGACAAGAAGAACTGCTTCTCATAGACCTGCAAGGGTTGGTGTTTCACCATGCTCCTTCAGCCTCGCGCAGCTGGTCTGTCAGCATCCCACTGCGAACACCGAACCTGCACAGCACAACACACTGTGTGACACACAGGTCACACACACACACATGACGTACACACACAAACAGAGGCATTCCAGGCCACCCCAAACAGCACTACTGTATTTTCACTAAACATGCAGAGACTGTTGACAGGCTTTGCACTTGTTTGAAGTGACAACAGCTCCCAGAAAGAGTTGACTCCATTTGTGAGTCATGTCCGGGACAAGCGATAATAATATGGTTGTATACACTCAGTGGTCACTGGCACGTCAATGGATTCAGTGGGTAGTGAATTGAAGACCGTTGGCATTGTGATTAACAATAAAAACAAAAAACACATGTTTTTAATGAAAAAATCCTGAAAATGTTGTATGAAAAGAAGCTGAAACTGGAGAATACTGCAGTCCAGGCATTATCTGAGGAGAAGGTTAGCATTCAGAACAAACGGCGATAAATACCTTAATATATTGAAAATAATGCGTCCATCTCAGAAAGATACAAACTTTATCCTGCTCGGGGAAACCATCAGATGACCATCAGCTACTGATGGTCATCTGAATTGACCATCAGATGCTGAGTGGCTACATCTAATGTAGATCTATCTAGAATCTAGATTGTTCATCAGCTTCTTTTATCATTTGGATTTATGCATTTATTGAAAAGGATCAAGAGGTTTTCCTTGAATAAAACAAAAGAAAATCTCAAAGCTAGATTATGCAGGAATAAGAACCCATTATTTAATCTTCTGTAATGTAAGAGAAGCAAAACCCAATATCTGTAAATCAGCCTCAGCCTCGGCTCTTTTTGTGGACTTGCTTCACATTTTAATAGCTTTGTCCTTGGCCCGTGAAGTACACTTTGGCAAAGTTTAATCAAAATCAGCAGAGTTCTTTCAATGTTATAATTTAGCAGCTGATCACATAACCTTGGTGAGGGTAATAAAAGTAAATGGGGATAATATTCCCCTAAAGTACCAGCCTCAATGAGAAAGGAAAGAAGTCTTCCAAAGGCAATGCAACTATTTTACCAATCTAGACTCAAGAAAAAAAATGTCCAATTCATGTTGCGATGATAGCTGTGTTTGTACTCATGTTGAATATGTACGCAAAGGATAAATGTATACATATAGGTAGAAATAACTGTTTGACATGCCATACCGTGTTGGCAATAAACGTCACAATGGAGAATAGTGGATTATATGGACCAACTACAGTTGTGAACACAGACAGGTCTATATTAGCTATTAGCTATTATCACAGAGATATTTTCTTGATTCTCAGACCAGGCAATGATGACTAAAAATATATATTTTTTTATTCTGTTGTAAGTTACAATCTATGACCAGGGTGATTAATGGATCATTCATCATAATTACATCTAATCTAAAACAGTTTACGACGGCCCTGAAGGTTGCAGGTTTGAAAGCAGATTACAAGCCATAGCTGCAGATCACAACAATCAGCGGATTTGTTTTCATTCATGACAAAGAACTGCTGAATCATCACTGCATGTCTGGTCACAACCAGACCAAGTTCTGGAGGTGGTACATCACATGCACTTTCCATTCAAACACAAAGGTAAATCCACACTTTGGAACATTTGTTTTATCTAATAGAGAAAAGACAGGGATGGACATGGATCTATTATATACTTTACCTAAGTTTTCCTCACAAGAAACCTTTCATGGAAACAGGCTGAATGAGTGTCTGGTCAGATTTGTGGAGATGCAAGCACACTCACAGTTTAATGCACAATCCATTTATGACAATACAAATCCATCCATCCATCCATCCATTTTCTACCCTTTAATCCATTTCTGGGTCAGGGGGGTGGCAGTCAGAGATGCCACCCAAGTCTCATAGCACCAGCCCCTCACTGACCCTCTGCAGGTGGTGAGTCCACAGGAGGACGGCTGCTCTCTGAGTGTGAGCATAGCCTTGATCTTTCAGTGGGGGCTTTGGGCAAAGTGGGGTTAAGTGTCTTGCCCAAGGACACAACGACAGCAGTCATCAGTGGGAGTCGGTGGAGAAGGTGCAGAGGTGGGAATTGAACCCACAACCTTCTGGCCTTAAGGCCAATGCTCTACCAACTGAGCTACTGTCACAATACAAATCATTAAATTAAAACATTACAGCATGGCAAGAAGCTCTTAAATGTTGATCATATTATGTCTCCAATAATATCAAAGGAACAGATGTGGAAATATTCCATAAGATGACCTCATACTAATGAAGCTTAAGCGTAAATTCAGACTGGGACCCTAAACCACGGGCTCCTCCCCCTCCACACTGACTCCTCCCCCCCTGCACACCAGCGAGCGAGTTCAACATTAGCCTCAGCCGCTCGGTAACACACCTGAGCTAATCATCTCTTCAAGGCTGCATTTAAACAGAGCCTCTCAGTTCTCTACAGTTTAACTGCTGTTCAAGCAACAACCCACCTCCTCCCCATCACCGTCTATTCAGTGTCATGTCATGTCTTCGGCTCGGCCTTCTTCACCACCAGGTTCTCAGCCCCAGGGGATTTGCAAGCTCATCATTTCTATTAAACTCTCCCCTGCATACGTCATTCAGTTTTCCTGCCCAGGTCTAATTGCCAAAGCTTAACGAACATTCATATTCAAATGCAATAAATGTATTAGTACCTAATCATTGAGTTGGCTGGGTTTAATTCATGCATCTTGACAATAATTATTCTAATGCAATCTTTGTCTCGAGTCTTTCCAGATTGAGTATACTGAAGTACTGTATGTAGTTCTCAGGTATGTCTGTTTTCAGTTATCTGTGTGTTTGCTCATAAAAAAAACATATCTAGTAAATGTTTAAATGCATATTATCTGGAGTGAATTATGCAAACACAGTCAGCCCATAAAATGTTGTGCCACATAAGTGTCTGCACTAAAACCTTTTGTTAATAAAAGTGAGGGTAGTTGAGCCGCCCTGCTGTCCGAGGCTTTCACACGACCTCTTGTTCCTCTGGATTTTTCGGATATCTGTTATTTACCTGCAGACCCTGCTCCCTCTCCAATGCTTTGCACACATGCCTTTTGTAGCCTGGGTAACCTGGTAACAGGCCCAGAAGAGTGCAGGTGTCTCATTGTGCCCATTTGAGTGATGTCCTCATTAAACAAAAAGAACAGGCCAGAAAAATAACTGTTTGCATGTGAGCGGGATACAAACCTTCAATATAGAATTTCAAAATCACAAAAATTGAATCGTGAAGAAAGAGTCACCATACTATAGAGTGAGAGAAAGATTTTCTACATTTTATCTACCTATAGCTTTGAAAGGGTAGGCGTTATCAAAGCTGGTATCATAATGATTGAATAATGTGTTTAGTGTTCCTCAACTGGCTCCGTGAGATTGAAGAACTATGATGAGAGTCAACATTTGTATTTTTTAAAATTCTGTGCAGGTAACTACATTCCTACCCAAGTCTTAATGTTATTTATCATCACCGAGGGGGAGCGATGGCTGAGAATCCTGTGGTGGCTGGGGTCTTTTTGGGTGGAGATTGCATGTTTCTCCCCGGGTCTGATTTCATGTATAGTTTAAAACAAGCACCAGAGGTAAAATCCCCCTGACTAGGGCAGCATAAATATCATTGGCTCTACTCCGGTGCTAACCCAAGGTCACATGTTTCTCCACATGTTACCTCATCCCATGTCTGGATGAGGTTCCAGGAACTCTCCATCACCAACAAATGTATCAGTGTGAATGTGGTGAGCTTATGAAAGATCTAAAGGGGTTGTTGACAATAGAATGATCAATTGTAGCTATGACCACAATAGATTGATTGAAGACACTCTACCCTAGTGCCTGGTCAGTACTGTGATGGGAGACCACCAGCTCCCACAGTGTGGCAGCTGCGGCTGTAAAGGGCCAAACAGTCTCTATGAGTCTGATGTGTGTGAATGACTGGAGGTGGTTGGCCAAACAAATTATTCTGACCAATCATTATTGGTCATGATAAAAATGATTTTGGTCAAAATAATTTGGCGCTATCATCATTATTCATTGGTTGAGAATAGAACCATTTAAAGTTTGCTTGTTTAAACCAAAAGATTGATCGGACATGTAATGAAATTTAGCCTTTATTTTTTTAGTGTAGGAGTGAGTGTTGGAGGGGCTGATGGCACGGATTGGCAGCTTCTGCCAATTCTGCCACCACCAACAGCCGAGTTAATAATCAGAAAAGAGAACCGGGCATTTGTGTCTTTAGAACGACTTCAGCCTCCGATGTGTAAAGGACTGACGTTGGTCTGAGCTGATGGCACAGATTGGTTGTCTCACTTAGAGCAGTCTACCAGGCCAGATGTGACTACAGTAGTAGGCTATTATCACAGAGTACACTGACATTTCTGAAATGTCCAGTTAACTTGCCAGTATTCTTTAAGGAGGTATACAAATGCCACAGGACACTTTCCATATTTTTTTGAAAGATACACCTGTAATTACAAACGTATTGTAGCTTTATTTTAGTTCTTCTCCAGTTGCTCATCACAGAAGGATGACATGGCCTTTCCAAAGGGTTTATTCTGAGCCCTAAAACTCTCTCACTGTCTGGGGTTCCAGACTTGAATCAGCCTTTATTAAATGTGTATCTGTGTAATAACACCTATAATCTCTGAGAAGATTTGGGCCCGAAATAGAGCTCCTATTAGTATATTATCGAGGGACAGGAAGGCAAAGGAGATCATGCGGGCTGGAAAGTAGAACTCACAGCCAACTTGATCTAAATGCTGGACTTAGTCATCACATCCCTCGTCAAGTACTCTGAAAAGCCTCTCTCAGGCTGTTTGCTATTACTCAACCTGGCAACCCTTAAACATGACACGCAAAGCTTCGGAAAGGAATTATAATTGGCCGATAACCTTTATTCAAAACACATAGGGATTATATTCTACGTCTATGTATGGTCACATTGAACGTGTCTTGTACAGTTCAGGAGAAGGTGATTTTTCAGAGACTTGAAACATATGAACACTTTAAACATGGGCAAGGGGCACTTTGCCACAGATACGACTCGCAGAACTAGGCCTCCACAATTTACACTTCTGGTCATACTGACTTTTAATGCCATACAACGGAACATGTGGCAAGCAAAAACATCTCCATGGAGACTATTTACCGCTGCAGCCGACAACTGTGCACCTACTGTATATACATTACTCAAAGATACAAATGAATGAGAAAAAACATAATAATTATCCAATCCAGGATTATCCAATGATGCCAAACAAAATAAACGTGTTGACAAATTATATTACACCATTTAATGTAGTGCAATTGTTTTAATTCCCTGGTTCTAATAGTTTCTAAACAGTGAATTGCCAGTGAATTTGAATATACTATGTCAAAATGGTACATTCAAATTGGATGAAAATAATTGTTCATAGTGTCAAATAAATACTTAATTTCACTACAAAACAAAATGCAGCAATACATAAAGAATAATATGATTTTGAGTTTTAAAATAAAATAAATAAATAAAGAACCTGTCTCTTTTGATTGCAATATAAATTTCTTTTGATACCACTTACAAAAACAAATGCATGATTAGCCATTCACAATATAAAACATGCTTATTTTGATAGGCTTATCAATCCCAAACTGACTCAATATCCTCATAAACTCATGTTTATGACTAATTAACTCAGTGTCAATTGCCAAACTAAACAAAGGCTTTCCTGGGATTATATGCAGCTAATCGGATGAGGAGCAGACAAACACTTACCTTAGCTCCACAAAAGACCTTTTTCCTTTAGTTCCATGCAATAAGCTCCATGGGCCGGTGTCATCAGGCGTCTTCTCCCTCAGAGCTCAGATTATGGCTGAATCCAAGCGACACAGCAGCGCAAGCGACCACAGCAGCGCCTCTGTCATAACAAACATGAGCCAACATGAGCTGGCATGAGCACTTTCCCTCAGACGACCTGTTGGATTGAGCAGCAAAGTTCAAAGTGTTTGAATTCATAAAAGAGTGGATGTGGAGGAAAGGCGCATGGACAAGGCTTTCAGAGAGTTAACATCAGTAATCCTCCTGACACTGTGTGGGCGGGGCTCAAAAGCACATTGTAAAACACAACTCATCTGACTTATTTATAGAGGAGTGACACTGAAGGTGCGCTTGTCTCACTTTCACACACCAAATCGCCTCAGGGGTAATATCTGTTAATCGATGAGGGCCAGGTCTATGTAGAGACAATAGCAGATCTATCATCACTGCAATATTAACCAAACTATAGGATTTCATATTTATTTATGTTCTATAACTATAGTTTTATCACTTTCGTTAACTAGCAGCACACTGGAGTCGACGTTCTTTGATCATACAATTTTCAGTTTATTTAATATATATATAGATTCAAGATTCAAGATTCAAGATTCATTTATTTGGCCATGTGCAGTTAAAAAACCACATTGGAATACGTTCGCAAGAAAGGCACTCCGTGTGCACCGACAGAACAAAAGCACGACACAATGCAATACAAAACACACATACACGGATACAAGAGGATACATATATATGTATCCTCTTTTTTTCCTAGTTCTAGGCCTCCATATTTACCATGAAAACAAGTAAATGTTTGATTGTTTAATCTAATCAATTAGTATCTGAGACACGGTATTTAAAAAAAAAATCTTAATTGCTTTTAAGCAACACAAATGTATAGCAAACTTTATTCAAACTGATCATGCAAAATAGAATACTAATCCTGTCTCCTTGGTTTAGGATATAGTGGTTGAATCAAACTTCAAAGGAAGAAATATTTTAATTAAAGTCCCCAGTGGGAGGGCTGCAGATGCCTGAAAGCAGGCGTCCCTGAGAGATCTTATGGTCTCTTGGAAATGTTGGAATGCAACAAGAAAAAGCCGCCGGTGTGAGGAGGTTCACTGGATAAAATTCCCAACTTTTCAGCATTAACTTTCAAACACATATCAAAATAAATGTTTTGTGATGTTTTATGTTTTCACTTGTATGCTCTATGATTTTCATGTTTCCTGTTTTGTATGTAATGGGTGATGTTTGTGTGTGAACGCTGCTATAAAAATAAACCCACTTTGCATTTTCTGATCTGCCTATCATATCTGATCTCTGGAAAACAAAACAAAAAACAAAGAGGACGAATAATGGTAGACATTGTTTTCACGGTGTTGCAAAGTAATATGTTTTCAGAAGTGAATTATAGTTCTCTATTTCACATTTGTGAATAAAAAGCTGTTCTCTGAAGCAGCTTGCCTGTGCCACACCTGGTGACGAGGTGGAGCGAGAGAGCGGTGTCTTGTAGAGGATCTATTCCAGGCCCAGCAGAAGATTAACCCTTAGCTTGGGATAATTACGTCACATGCCTTTAATCCCAAACAATTCACTGGTCCTCATGAACAACCACAACCTCTTCCCACTGGCTCCCTGCCTTTGCTCCATTAAACGACAACCCCACCTTCCACCTCTCACATCATGCTGCAATCTCCAAGACAATCCAAATGTGGGCCTCCACCTGAATCCTGTCTGTGAATTTGATCACTTTGTAAAACTTTCTTGCTTTGACAGGGGTCTCACACAGTTGTATATTATTGTTGCGTTTGTTTGGAGCCTGTTATTCATTGTGTAGCTCTTTGTTGACCTCTGGTGGTCACAGAGACGTGTGGCCACAAATTAAACAAAAAAGCAACACATATTTAGGCCACTAAGAGGCACTATTTCAGCCAAATTCGCCCATCACGTTGGCGATAGATGGCATTACGTGACAACTCGACAATAAACAAGTTTCAGGAAGAAAATAGTGTTCCCGTCACATCCTATACTACTACTGTCATATACAGCTCCTGTCTAGGATAGGATGTAAGGGTTGTGTTTATTTACAAAACATTGAAAACACAGATTTATTATTATTATTACAAATCACCATTAATATTATCATTATGTTTGTATGGATGTTGATATTATCATTATCAGAACAATGACGACAACAGCCATTCCCAACAACTAAGTATATGAAGAGATGCCTGAGCAATATCATATTGTAAAAAGAAACATGCAAAAGTAGCACAATTGCTGTGACAGAGAATGTGAGCTACATCTACACAAATTGATGTGTCGTGAATTCAGGCTTTAAGACCAAGAGGGGCAGGATTCTGCACCCACTTCCTCTGGAAACATTTTCTGGGCGGGACATCTGGAAACTAAATTCCTCTTCCCAGATTTTCCAGCTTTTAGAAACCAGTATGAAAACCTGGGCCATCTGCTTCAGACAGTTTGTAACTTTTGCACTTTTTGTAACTTATCTATTTTTCAGGAGCAAAAGGATAACTGCTGGGAGCTGTTGTTAGCAGATGTTAAGGTAAAATAAACACTAGTGAATTGGGGGAAGGGATTGCCATGGGAAATGCCTAGGCATGTAAGAAGAGGCCAAAATGTCAGTGAGATTTGAGATTCCACTCATGGGAACAATGGAGCTAAGTTTCTGGAATGTGACAAACCATACAACCTTGTATTGCATGAATAAAATAGTGTGGATTATACAGAATTTTTAACCCTTGAAAAGTCATATAAAATCTATTAGAGCGCCTTTACTGATGATTGAATCATTATAATATGGCCACAGCCTCGAGCATATTGCACCATGACACTAAAGTCCAATGCAAAATTAACTATAGAATAGATAGATTGTGTAGAGTTTTCAAAATTCAAACTCTGTTTTAATGTTGTCAACTCTGTGAGTTGACAACATTTGATATTTTGGAAATTTGAGATTCTGACCCAAGCGCTGCTGGCCATGAGGAAACTCCACGTTGTGTGCATGTGTAGAATCACCATGACGACACAAGGAAGGACCAATCACCTTTCAAACATGCCCCGTAACGTGTTGAAGATCTCAGGTGGAATCTGGGGGCATGATATGAATCTGTAAAACTAGCTGATGTTGTGGCTACAAGCAAGTAGCTGCCTACGTGGCTGTTATGTAAGACTTGGCCCAGAGCAACATTTAAGAAATAGATATGGTCCAAATGAAATACAAAATAAACAAAACATTAAGCCCAGAGCACAGATAGAAAATAGAGAAGTAACTTAAGACACAAAACAAAAAGAATGAGTACAGAAACTTGTTCTAAAGTTAATTTACGTCTATAATTCAACTTTCATGAAACTCATTACACGCAAAGGGAGACATATCAATCCTTACAGATTGTAAAAATGAACTTGAAATAAAAAATAATAAAAATCTAATATTTTGGAAATGGACTGTAAGCCATCATCATCATGTTGTATATGATTCGTCTATACCATGTACTGTATTGGTTTCACATTTTAAGTTGAATCAGAGAAATAGATGAGCTTTTGAACAATATTCTAATTTTCTGAGTTTCACCTGTATTTGTAGCTAATACAATCGAAACAGGCCAAGAAATATATCCCAATAGTTTCCTTGTCTCTGTGCTATTTCAATGTTTTTCACTAGGAGTTTAACAAAATGACAATTTTTCCATTCATTGTGTTTGCTTTAGGTTCGAAATGTGGTTTACAAACATTGTAGCCCTTGCACTTCTCGCAATTGCTGTGTCTGCTGCAACTTCTGCATCCACTGTACCCCCCGCATCCACCAAACCCACTGCAACCTCTGCATCCACCAAACCAACTGCAACCTCTGCATCCACCAAACCAACTGCAACCTCTGCATCCACCAAACCAACTGCAACCTCTGCATCCACCAAACCAACTGCAACCTCTGCATCCACCAAACCAACTGCAACCTCCGCATCCACCAAACCAACTGCAACCTCCACATCCACCAAACCAACTGTATCCTCAGCATCTACCAAGAAGGTCCTCAGTAACCACGTCACCATCCTGGCTGACAACAGTGCCAACCTAGGCCTCACACTGTACCAGCACATCGCTAAGACAAAGAATGTGGAAAACATCGCCATCTCTCCCATTGTGGTAGCTTCATCGTTGGGTCTGGTGGCGTTAGGGGGTAAGGCGTCCACAGCATCCCAGGTAAAGACAATTCTAAAGGCAGGTAAAGTGAAAGATGAGCAACTGCACTCCGGCTTATCTGAACTGCTGAACGAGGTCAGCGACCCAAAAGTACGCAACGTCACCTGGAAGATCAGCAACCGCCTCTACGGACCCAGCTCGGTCACCTTTGTGGACAACTTCATTAAGAACAGTAAGAAGCACTACAACTATGACCACTTCAAGATCAGCTTTAAAGACAAGAAAAGTGCACTGAACTCTATAAACGACTGGGCGGCAAAGTCGACAGATGGAAAGCTCCTGGAGGTCACTAAAGAGGTGGAGAAGACAGACGGGGCGCTGATTGTAAATGCCATGTTCTTCAAACGTGAGAATAACCCTTATGTGTGTGTGTGTGTCTGGAATATCTTTGAGCTGGAAATGTCATATTGTGTTTTTTCACAGCTCACTGGGATCAGCAGTTTCATCACAAGATGGTGGATAATCGTGGCTTCATGGTTCCTAATGGCTACACTGTCTCTGTCCAGATGATGCATCGCACAGGTATACATTATATAAATTGCACAAATCAAAGTGGATGTTTTCATTCAGTCTGCAGTCAGAGAGCTAACTTAGAGACTTGTCTGTGACTGAGCCAGAGCTTACTGTGTCTAGTATCCATTGTGTTTGATATAGTACATTCAAATGGCATACCATATCTGTAATACATTATTACTTTGATTTCCAAAAGGCAAATTCATAATATTGATTGTGTTATTTTCAAGACTTTTGCCATTATTATTTTTACTTGTATCAAGAGCTTCTTTCTGATCATTTTCTACATATTGCTCATCATTTCAATCCAGTAATAATTGAAAATAGAGTGACAAAATATATAGATTGCCTTAATAGCAATTGTATTTTGTCTTCAAACTGTTGTTATGTTCATTTCACTCACTTTTATCTTATCAATTTAAATGACTTTAAGCTGGGGTACCTAAATTTTAAACCACAAAAATGGATCCATGTAATAAAACCAATTAAACTAGTTCCTCACTCACAATTTGATTTCTTCTCTAATTTTCTAATTTATTGTCGGCCTGTCACATCTTAAGATTAGCCTTTTTCAGACAGAAAAGTGAAAAAGGGGCAAAAATATATATATCCTTCAAAAAGAACATTTTCTCATTCAAGACTGCATGTTGTGGTCTTACTTATTTCACGATTTTTGTCACAGGTCTATACGGCTACTTTAATGACGCCACAAACAAGTTGTCCATCCTGAGCATGCCCCTGTCCCAGAAGAAGTCTAGTATGTTGTTCATCATGCCTCACCATGTGGAGCCTCTGGACCGGCTGGAGAAGATGCTGACCATGAAGCATCTGGACTCATGGCTCGGCAAACTCAAGGAGACCGCAGTGGCTGTGTCTCTGCCCAAAGTCAACATGGAAGTCAGTCACGACCTGCAGGTACACACAACAGAAATAAACCCCTAATGATAAGCCAGCCACATGCCTAATGGTAGGGTGTCATAGAATCACAATAGATTGACATATTGTTGGCTCTAGGGCACGTTCACACTTGTTGGTCTGGTTCACTTGGGGCAAAATGGCTTTATTTGTGGATGCAGAACTACCAAACGAGTCCACATTCACTGAGATGGTGTGATCAGTATGTGAAAGCCTGATCAGGTTAGACAGCAAAGGCTAAGCTGGGTAGGAGCCTGGTTAGGACTGTGATGGGAGATCACTGGGAACATTGTAAAGTTTAAGTAAGTAAGACATCTTTATTTATATTGCGTTTTTACAGATCAAGGTCACCAAAAGTGCTATACATTGTTCAGAGTTCCGATATTGTTGAATTCTCTCCACACACGTTGATGACGGAAGCGAGACGCCGAACACACTGGCCCATCAAAGCCACCAACCATCAACATCCATTCACTCACTCATTACATTCATACCTATAGTATTGTGAAGGTTTTTAGTGGTAGGGGAAACCGGAGCACCCAGAGGGAACCTATGCAGACGCAGAGAGAACAGAAAGGTCTTGTTCCGACTGGGATTCGGACCGAGGACCTTCTGTTGCGGTGTTCTAGTTAATTTGCTCTCACGTTTCAAAAGAGAGGGGAAGGACCCAACATACAATAGTGCAAAAATAATACACACACACACACACACACACACACACACACACGAGAACAGACAATACAACAAAAACAGGAACAAAAAATGATAACCATGGCAACAAACCGTACATGGAGTGAATGAATAATGTCCTGTTTGAGTGTCCAAAAAGCACTATGTAAAACAGTCTGTATTATTATTATTAAGTATTACAGCTTTTTACATCTTATAAGCATTTTTGTCCAATTAAACCAAGTGTGAACAAACCCTGATCTAGATATCCATCAATGTCTCCCACAGCATAATGTTTTCTGTTTAGTTTCATGTCCAATTTATGCATCGGAAAAACATAAATAAATGTGCGTCCTTATCTGTGTGCTTTTAGAAAAACCTGGAGGAGCTGGGCTTGACTGAAGCTGTAGACAAATCCAAAGCGGACTTCTCCAACATGTCTGGGAAGAAGGACCTGTACTTGTCCAGTGTATTCCACGCCTCAGCTCTGGAGTGGGACACAGACGGAAATGAGATGGACACATCCATCTACGCTTCTGAAAAACTCAGGACCCCCAAACTCTTCTACGCTGACCATCCTTTTATCTTCTTAGTCAAAGACCAGAAAACTAAAACTATTCTGTTCATGGGCAGAATGCTGAGGCCAAAGGGGGAGAAAATGAGAGACGAGTTGTAACCATGTAAAACACTGAATTCTTAGTTTTGTTTGAAACCACATTGTTATCAGATGGAGCAATATGAACATTCCTTTGAATGAAAGAAGCATTCCAAAGACTACTGTTTTATCAAAAGCATTTTTACAGCACTATTCAGAATAGATTGTGTAAAATATCTTTAAATTCTTATGTTGTTTCTAAATAAATAAATTAAAATAGATAAAACATTAAGTGTGTTTATTAGACTGTGTGGTGTATGGATGATCTTAAACAGTGCCGCCCATTTTGGGGTTCATGGGATAATGTTGAGAATATACAGTGTATTTTATTGTATTTTATTTGATACAAGTATTATTTTACGTGACGTTAGATAAAAATGTCAATGATTACTCAAATAAACAACATGTAAATGAATGCAGCAATTTAACAACATTCTACTGTCAAAGAAATGTGTCTCACACAGGCAGAGAATACAAGTATAAACAAAACATATATAAAATGTTAGGTTAAATCTTCAAACCTTTTGTTGCCATCTGCAAAGTAACTAAGTAGTCAAGGATAAGAAGGAGTAAAACGTTGAGTAAAGTAGAGTTGTAATACTTACCGTATCCATATCTGTGGTTCTTTACACACTACGTGAAGCTTCAGCTATGCTTAAGTGTGTGAATACTTTAACACAATAATTACACGCTACATAATAATTTGACAATAATTGTCAAAATAAGCCTAATATACGATTACGACAGCCCATCCATCATGGATCTATGCGACAGCCTGGCCTACACATTTCCCCGTCCCCTCCTCATCCAGAGGCAGCCTGCCATCTAGAGGCGAACTCGTTTATTGCAGCCATTTAATTATAGCTAATAAAATGCTAATAACTAAGGTGTTGCTAAGGTGTAATTACTTGTATTTAGACCTATATCGAGAAACGTACAGTGAAATTAATAATATACATTTCCCCCAAAACACAATAGTTTTACACATTCTTTATGACAAAACCAGTCTGAATAAATAATCGATTAATCTTGATCATATTTTTCATTGTCTCGCAGTGCGGGTACCTTCAGCCATAATAGAGTGATATTGAGTCCATATGAATAAATAATGTGGTAGAGTGAGTGGTGTTTGCTTTGGCCTGGTCAGGAGGAGGCGGAGGCGGAGGAGGGGGCGTGCTCATGGACGTGGTGATGCTCCGTGTTCCCCCGCCGGCCGCTCTTCCATCATGGCTCCCTCCGTGGACAGACACGGCTACTGGGGGCGACCCACCTCGACTCTGGACTGGTGCGAGGAGAACTATGTCGTCTCATACTACATCGCGGAGTTCTGTGAGTACAGTTGGGTGTTTCTGTCTCCACACGGACCAGAGGCTTGGCTCCCACGGTCCGCACGTCGCCCTGGAGCGGCGTGTTAGCTCTACGTCCGCTGCTGTTTACACCCAGTCTATGCTTTTGTCCTAAATCTGCCCCGATCAGAGCTATACAAAGAGGATAAACGCAGTAAAATGATCAGCTGTGTTTGATTAAAGCTGGATTTCATTCGTCTGTGAATAAGCAAATTCTTAAATCATGTGCAACACTGCAAATCACTGCTCAATGTCACTTTACCTTATCTACTTATTATCATGTACAGTATATAACTCTGCACTACTACTACATATATATATATTTTTTTTGACTGATATTGACTGAAGCATTTCTACTACTTATTTTGTATATATTGTGTGTGCTCCCTGCCTGCTCTTACTACTGTCCTATATGTGCGCTGCAACATTGAAATTTCCCCACTGTGGGACGAATAAAGGAATTCTTATCTTATTTTCTTTGTGTGAAAGAAGTGATGCCAACGCTTTTAATGACATTTTCTAGCTAATAAAAATAATAACCTTATATTGTACTGAGAATAACAAAGTGGTTCATACATGGTTCAGAAGACACAGACAGTGGCAATGACCATAATCTGCCATTCTAAATACCTTTTTGCATTAATTTGCACTAAAGCTTGGGCTACAAACAGGACAAAAAGAACAGGTTAAACCGTGATTACTATCTAAAGATGTGTACCTTTGCTATGCTCCTGTGTCAGCTGATTCATACCGACCTGTTTTGAGATAACTGCGACATGCTTTGTGGCCTTTTACCCTTACTTTGGCTTATTGTGGGAGTTAATTACAACACTGTGAGCTGTAATGACAAGTAATTACACACTGTATGGGTCTAAATGACATTCACTTTGGCCTACATCTACATTTGGACATACTAAATTAAAATACTTAAGACTGTATCTATTGCCTTTTTCAGATATTGACTGTGTGTGTGTGTGTGTGTGTGTGTGTGTGTGTGTGTGTGTGTGTGTGTGTGTGTGTGTGTGTGTGTGTGTGTGCGTGTGTGTGGTGATTGTATGAACAAGAGATACACATGCTGTCTTGGCTGGATAATTGTTTTCAGTCACACCACGATTGTTTGGCCTTAAAACGCTGATTCAGGTGTCAATAGATGGAATGTGAGTTGTGTTAAAGCGAAATCTCACATCAACCAAGTTATGTGTTTGAAAGTAGTTGTCCGGAACATGTTTGAGGATCAGGGAGAGGCATGCACAAGGCTTGACACTGACGAATGAACATGTAAATATTGCTTAGACTAACATTAACTTTGGTAATATTATCAGCAAACAAAGTCCAAAGAAAAAGAGATCGTGGTCTTTTGGAACCGCCTTAACCTTTATCAGGCACATGTAGATATGAAGTGAGTTCATATCAAAACTGTTAATAATCACGCATATAATATTGTGTAGTAAGCTCTGACATAGTGCAACACATCCTGGTAATCCTAGTGTCTCAATTCAAACACAGCCACGCCTGCGAGGGACAACTGCAGAGCCTGTGTGAGATCTGTCGTCTGAGGTGTTAACATGGCACTCTCTGAAAAGACATGGCTTCAGGGGAAGGAGTTTGCATGTGCGGCAAAGCTTTAATTAACTGTATTTAAACCAGTTATAAATCACCAACTAACACTTTACAGACAATGAAATGACACGAGAAACAATAGCTTGCAAAGCAGGCATTAAATATGTATATCATACAAATAGCCTGTGTCTATAGCCAGGGTTCTTTATGAACTCCTTGTGCTCAGCTCAGGTTACTGTAACAAAATATGTGGCACTTTGGCTTTCATTGTCTCACCCAGTGTGTTAAGTCTGTATTGTATCGATAACCCTAATGCTTTCTTTGTCTATTTTAACAGGGAACACGGTTAGCAATCTTATTATGATCATTCCTCCTATTTTTGGAGCCATTCAGACGTTTCGGGATGGACTGGAGTTCCGCTATATAGGTTCTTTTATCGGCTTGGCAGGTGTGATGTTCGTTTTAGAATATGGCTGTTCTGTGTCAACACAAGTGTAAAGTTGTTTGTCTTTCTCCAGCTGTTGGCGTTGGTTCCTGGTGCTTTCATATGACACTGCTTTATGAGATGCAGGTGAGCTTTTGCTTGGTCCATATGCTTGGTCCATATGCTTGGTCCATATGCAAGCAGGAAAACTACATTACTCTAAATCAGATTAACTTTGACACAATAATTGTCTAGTTGTGCTCTTAAATAACAATAGTAACAATATCTACTAATCTATTTATTATTCTGTGTATATTGGAGATTGCATAACAGTCGTATTAAATATAGTTGCTGTTATTGTTTTCTTTTCCCAAGGCAGTCCCAAGTAATCACATATGTATATAGATAAAGGACAATTAAGATAAACAAACAACTGGTAAACAGAATTAGTTTGATTTGCTCATGTATATTTATTTAAGATGTTTGGTTGAATTTATAGATATTATATTTTGCTTTTTACTTGAAATCATGTTGACTATTCTAATATGAACTTTTATTATTACAGTTGCTTGATGAATTGCCAATGATCTACAGCACCTGTGTCTTTGTGTACTGTCTGTAAGTGACTCTTTTGCATTGATTGACCAAATGTTCAGATGAGTGATGCATTTGTGAAGTCTCCACTTTCATTTATTCCGTCTCTGATCTGTTGTTGTTTCTCCGTAGATATGAATGCTTCAAACAAGAGAAGACTATTAGTTTCTTTCTAATTGCATTGCTATTATTTTTCAGTATATCTGTTACTGTGGTAAGTATGCTAACAGCAGACACGTGTATTTGTATTTGGAGGATAGAAGAATAATCATATTAATAATCATGTTGTGTTTAGGTCTATCTACAGTGGAAGGAGCCAGTATTTCATCAGGTACTGCATATGAAGATCGTTTGTCTAGTGTTTAAAGTGTTTCGTCTAAGTCAGGGCTGTCCATTGTGTCCAAACATTCTAGTAATAGGGCCACTTTAGTTCACCAGACTAGTCCTGCGGCCGACATCACAGACTGAAAACTGTCTTGACTGGCATCGGGCTGTTCTGAGCTTTAAAATGATCTATAACAAAGTGAAGTTGGGTGGATGACACAGACTACTTTGGGTTAGCAAGGCAGAGGGCCACATACAATTACACTGAGGGCCGCAATTGGCCCCCGGGCCTGAGGTTGGACATGCCTGCTCTAAGTGGTTCTCGTGTTCTGCAATTTTTGAAGCTGTAGTTGATAGTGCATGATAGTCATAGTCCTTGTTAAAAAAAAAAAAAAACATCTTACTGACTTGAATGAAATCATAAACAAAGAGAATCCTTTATTAGACAATTCAAGTGATTTCTACTTTGTTAATTTGTTCCATACACTGTAAAGAAGCAATAACAAAAGCTGAGATTGAGTAAGCTATATTACACAATACAAATACTTTCTTTTTGGAGGGGATTGGATTAATATAAACTTTTTGCTTCGTTCCAAACTGGAAAAAGATTAGAATTAGAGGAATATATCTGTGTATATATAGTTATATGTATGTTTGTATGTATGTATATATACACTCATTTGACCATCTGCAATACATTTTGAATACTAAATATAAAGAAAAAAAATGTACAAAAAATAAAAATAACAGTGACCCCAGGATATTATAAATAAAAGCGAAATAAAAAGACAACAAAAATGAATAATAAATAATTAGTTTAGGTTAAAAATTAGTTAACAAATAAGAACAAGAGCCAACATAGAAATACCATTATTGTAAATTGACCAGATCAAAACACATCTATATTCATTATTTATTGTATTTTATTTTATTGATACAAATCCCAATCCAAGCTCACCATTATTCACATTTGATTTGATGTTGTGAGATAATATTGACCAACCGCACATACTTTGAAGTATTTACATCGGGGCTTAGTGCATGTATCCAGTAGTCATGTTGTGATGTTACTACCAACAGCACACAACAATGCTGCCTTTCTTTGTCTCTGTGTAAAGCCTTTATTTACTCTTCACTTTGCGTTTGGGTGGATCTCTGTCTGTGTCCGTTAACCAGATCACAGCAAAACACTGTTTTACCAGTGTGCGATGAATACGACATGTTTATAACCAAAACTAAAGCCCACAAAGCTGATATCGCTTCACTAAATTGTTTGATGTTGTTTCTAGGTCATGTATGGGGCCCTTGTAGCCTGCTTGGTGATACGGTCTATCTTTATTGTTACGTGGTAAGTGGCCGAAGATAAAACAAGGCCATGGGTTTCATTCACTTTGTCTAATATGATTCTTTGATGATTCAGGGTGTACCCCTGGCTGAAGCCGCTGTGCTACACCTCCTTAGGAATATTCATGTTGGGATTTCTACTCTGGAATATTGACAACATATTCTGTAACTCCTTGAGGTACACACTGTTTGACACGGCTATTTCAATCCACATCCTCTTTACTTGTGTTGTATACTTAACAAGATTATATTAAGAGCCTTTATTCGTCCTACAGTGAGGAAACTTCAGCGTTGCATCACCGGTTACAGAACAGTAGGAATGAGGAGTACACAATACAAGATAAATGAATGACTATATACTAAAATAAAATTAATAAAAACTCTCAATTTAGCATAATAAACAAGCAAGTCTAAAACCTCCAACATTAGCATAATACAGAAGCAAGTAAAGAATCTCTAGCTTTAACATAATACGGAAGCAAGTCTAAGATCTCCAAATTTAGCCTAATGTAGAAGCAAGAATGAAGTATGACATCTCTGAGTCCTACTTTAGCATAATAAACAAAAAATATTTTCACAGAAGAAAACAATTAATGCCTATAAACCATAGACTTGTATATAATAACGGACAGAGTCACGCCTATCTCCGCCGTTCATAGGAGTTGGCCATGAAAAGTGCTTTCATGGAGCAATCCAAGATGGCTGCGAGTGGTCCCGCCCACAAGAAAATTGTGGAAAAACCAGTGGGGGAGGGTCCCAGCTCAAAAGTGGCCAAAATGACGTGCGCTGACATACTTGCAATACCATCCCGGGCCGTTGGGGGTGGACCCAGAAGAAGAATTAGCCAATGCTAACATACAGGATTGGCAGACCTCTCAAAAACGTCTTTACAGGATGGACAAAAAGTTGGCTCTTGGCCCAAAGCTCCGTTCCACATGTGTGTCAATGCTGAGGGGGGTGAATTTTTTTGGTCCACTCTAGTTTACTCGCTGTGAATTATTGAAGTCTCTCGTTCAAATGAATGGAGCTGCGCCAGCTGACGCATGCGCAGATGCGTTTTTTCACAATTTTCGCGGCCGTCTTTGTGTCCGTTAATATATACATTCTATGGGAAAAACGCATCTGCACATGCGTCAGCTGGCGCAGCTCCATTCATTTGAACGAGAGACTTCAAAAATTCACCGCGAGTAAACTAGAGTTGACCAAAAAAATTCACCCCCCTCAGCATTGACACACATGTGGAACGGAGCTTTGGGCCAAGAGCCAACTTTTGGTCCATCCTGTAAAGACGTTTTTGAGAGGTCTGCCAATGCTATATGTTAGCATTGGCTAATTCTTCTTCTGGGTCCACCCCCATCGGCCCGGGGTGGTATTGCAAGCATGTCAGCGCACGTCATTTTGGCCACTTTTGAGCTGGGACCCGCCCCCACTGCTATAAACCTATAAATATATTATACTGCCTGTGTCCATTTTTTGTTTTACAAATAGTTTTGGCCAGTGGTTTGCCAACCAGGGGCATGGGGAAAACTGGGGGTATAGACTTTTTCATTATTCATATTTTCCTTATACTAAATACAAAAGCAAATATACATGACAGTACCAACCCCAAACAATAAGCCACCCCAAACCCAATGTTCGAAAATTAAATAAATCTGGGGTCTCAAACATGTGGGCCGCGAAAAGGCATTTTGTCGCACCCTAGTGGACGTCAAAAATGAAAGTCAGTGGGCCCTACCGAAGAATATGGGCTAATATGGCATATTATATATCATTTTAAAGATAATTCTAGCATGGAAACAACCACAGAACTCAGCCTTCATTGCTTTTGGTCCAGTTTTGTTTTGTTTCAATCCAAGCAGCTGTGCCCATTTTGTTCGTAGAAATTATATAAAATGTTATATCTATACTCCATCCATCCATCCATTTTCTACCCTTTAATCCATTTCTGGGTCAGGGGGGTGGCAGTCAGAGATGCCACCCAAGTCTCATAGCACCAGCCCCTCACTGACCCTCTGCAGGTGGTGAGTCCACAGGAGGACGGCTGCTCTCTGAGTGTGAGCATAGCCTTGATCTTTCAGTGGGGGCTTTTTGGGCAAAGTGGGGTTAAGTGTCTTGCCCAAGGACACAACGACAGCAGTCATCAGTGGGAGTCGGTGGAGAAGGTGCAGAGGTGGGAATTGAACCCACGACCTTCTGGGCTTAAGGCCAATGCTCTACCAACTGAGCTACTGTCGCCCCCATATCTATACTCATATTAAATAAAAGTAATTATTTTGTCACTATACCGTCATAATGAAAAGTCGCAGATGCAAACAATGACCTATGAACCTTCCACAAATGCTTGATCCATTAGTTTCCCTGTATTTGTCTCTGTTGTAAAAGCACAAACATTTACTTTCCCTACTCTTATCGTTAAAGAATGAGAAGGCCGTTTGAAACACTGGGATATTTTTAGGAGCTGAACTGCGTGTGTAAAGTAAAATAGCCTGAGCAGTGTTAGCAATTTGATTTTATATCTGCACGTGCATAAATTTTTTTCCCCCAATGTTCATATCCATATTTTCAAACACGTGATAAATACGGCCGTTCATTCTGCCCAGCTTCACCCAGACTTGCCGTCGTCTGGGTGAATGAAATTACAGTTGCAGTACATAACTTTTTCTATTCTTTCATAATAGCTAGTCCCAACTGATTTTGTTCACAATTCAGACCACAATCTGCTGTCTCCATATTAGTAGAAAATACCTAAAACTCAGAAAAAGTAATATTTTGCATACTTGTGAGAAAGCCCCGTGAGTCACTATTTGACACTTTGAGCTGAGAGCTGTTTGAGGCTGGGTGAGGGTGGTCCGCTCTTTTAAACTTTTCTGTATGAAAAATCTTATCTAAAAAAAACATGCCTGTGAAAGTTAGTGATCCAACCAAGCCGAGCTAGTTTCATGACATTGTTTTTGTGTCCCCACCTCTGCACCTTCTCCACCGACTCCCACTGATGACTGCTGTCGTTGTGTCCTTGGGCAAGACACTTAACCCCACTTTGCCCAAAAGCTCCCACTGAAAGATCAAGGCTATGCTCACACTCAGAGAGCAGCCATCCTCCTGTGGACTCACCACCTGCAGAGGGTCAGTGAGGGGCTGGTGCTATGAGACTTGGGTGGCATCTCTGACTGCCACCCCCCTGACCCAGAAATGGATTAAAGGGTAGAAAATGGATGGATGGATGGATGGATGTTTTTGTGGTTTTAAAGTTTGGAAGGTCTACTCCAGCTTTCAAGGAGCAGTATCTACCAATCTGGCCAAAAGTGGTACTGCAGCCTCTCCTGAGCCTCTCCCACTCTCCCTGACTCAGGTTGCCAGATATGCAGACGAATCCAGCTGGGACCATAATATCTGAATAGACAAGAGTTTTGTGATCAACAAATCTATAACAACACCATTTTCACAAAGGCCCTGATAGAAATCCTCGCTATATTTCTTGTTTTGTTGTTGATTTGATTTGAGAATCATAACAAGAAAGACCATTTTTATTTCTGCAGCCACATGTTACTTTACCAGTGAGATTAGCTCGACGCGGTGAGTTCTGGCCACCCCGATCTGATTGGTAAAACAGTGGAGGACGTGACATCGAAATGAAAACGATAACAAGATTTAGGGGCTGTAAAACTAATTTTGAAATTCGAATATCTCTGAACTACTGTCATCAATTAAAGAAGTATTGGAAAAGAACATGATATAGGGGCAACAGTAGCTCAGTTGGTAGAGCATTGGCCTTTGGGCCTGAAGGTCGTGGGTTCGAGCCCGCCGTAAGACCTACTTTACGACCCCTACTGATGACTGCTGTCGTTGTGTCCTTAGGCAAGACACTTAACCCTACTTTGCTTGAAGCTCCCACTGAAAGATCTCAGCTCCTGTGGACTCACCAACTGCAGGAGGATCAGTGAGGTGTACTGGGTGGCATCTCTGGCCACCCCCCCGACCCAGAAATGGAGGGGAAATTAAGGGGAAGAAAATGGATGGATGGAAAAGAACATGTTTTATTAATGCCTTTTGACAGATTAGGGCCATTTAATGATGAATTGACATGAAAATCTTACATATTGCTACTTTAAATGAGAAGAAAATGTATATTCTAAAGAGACTTTTTTACATAAACATTATATTATAAATCAAACGATGCGAAATAGTTAAACATTAACAATACTCAACAATAGCGCTGCACATAAACAGATAACACTTGCCTTTCCTTTCAGAGCGGGCAGAGAAGCACTGCCCTCTGGTGTTGGAGTGGTGCTGACGCAGTTTCATGCATGGTGGCACATCTTCACGGGCCTTGGTTCTTATCTGCACATACTTCTGAGGTGGAATTTCAAAGATTACTAACATTTACCTTTCCCCTCCTGTATCTGGAATTAAACTCTACAACATTTTGGTTTCAGCCTGCAAATCAGAGCAACCTACCTCAAGTACAGACCAAAAGTGAAGGTATGTTTTACTGTCTATGCTTTTAAATCCTCTCTTTGTTTTGTGTTACTTTGAGCTTATTTATTTTTATTTATTTATTTATTTGAACAGCACAAAAGGAGTGGGCTGAAGCAAAACACTAATGAGCACCCCCCCACCCCCAAAACCCAATTACAATCATACTTCATACTTCATATTACAATAAAGATAGTACAGAACAAGGACACACATGCAGGCAAAACAAACTGCACCTGCACCTCCTGGATTATGGAACAGTCAACAATTTAAACAGAATAAGGAATAGATCATACAATTAGCTATGCATTAATAAGAGAGACCAGAGAGAGACCAGAGAGAGACCAGAGAGAGACCAGAGAGAGACCAGAGAGAGACCAGAGAGAGACCAGAGAGAGACCAGAGAGAGACCAGAGAGAGACCAGAGAGAGACCAGAGAGGGACCAGAGAGAGACCAGAGAGAGACCAGAGAGAGACCAGCGAGACCAGTGAGAGACCATAGCGAGACCAGTGAGACCAGAGCGAGAGACTAGAGAGAGACCAGAGAGGGACCAGAGAGAGACAAAACCAAGACCAGAAAGAGACAAGAGAGAGACTAGAGCAAGACCAGAGAGAGACAAGAGCGAGACTAGAGAGGGACCAGAGCGAGACCAGAGCTAGACCAGAGTGAGACCAGAGAGCCTCACTGACCTAAGGACAAAAATAGATGTTAAGTTTCAAGGCAGCTTCATTAACAACAGTTTGAAGCGTCCATCGACTGTTCATGGACTGACCTTGACAAAGTTGTGTTGTGCTTTCAGTTTATGTGCGGAGTGTGGCCGACTCTGCACGTGGAGCCGCAGAAGAGCAGCTGAGATGAAGAAGAGACGGATGACGACAGCCGCCAAAGCCAAAGCCCGTTTACTGAAGGGACCTCAGACCACAGCCAATGGGGAAAGAGCTCCTCCCCTGAACGCCTGCACTGAGGACTCAAGTATGGCACTGAGGATAAGGGTTCTTTTCTTTCTAAATTATTAGTTTAGCTGTTTCTTATACGCAGTGTTTAATTTGAAATGCGAGAAGGGCAAACAAGCAACAAAAAACTAAAACAAAAAAGACTATTGTAAGATTCAATATGCAGTAGTCAAATTGCTAGAATACTTTCAATATATTCTTAATCATGCCTGCCAGTTGATTCTACCTATCTATCTACTTGTGTGCACACCCAGGCCATATTTTGAAGATTACATTTGTTAATGCAAAAACTTTTTGTGTTTTTGCAAAGCCAGAGATTCAAAGTTTCCATCCAATTTGTTTTTGTTTTGTTGCCAAAGCTTATTTGAAAAGAAAGTAATTTTGCCTTAATTTTGATGTCACTTTTGTATATCCGGGGCCATCATTGAAGGATTGCTTTTTATCTGAAGTGAAGTCACTATCCAGTCATTTCAGGAGAGAATCTATGGGCAGATTGTGTCACATTTTTGTATTGTCATGTTGTTAAATACTTTGGAACGTTTAATGTTATAGTGAGTCCCCCAAACAGTGTAAGGTTGCTATTGCTTTTGTGTTGTGATTTGACTTTTGTGGGAATTTTAATTAGTTCATAACTGAAACCTAATACACTGGAAATGGCTGCAGGTTGATCAGACCTGATTTTAAAATGTTGATGAAAAATTGCTGTAGTATTTTTTATTTATTTATAGTAATGCAATTGTCATGAAGGGACCAATTTATTTCATTAATAAAATCCATGATCATACTTTTTTCACCTACTAATATAAATTGCATTATTGCAATTATAAATTGCAATAATTATACAATTATAAATTATTATAAATTGCGTTAATTTATGAATATTTAATGTTATTAAATCATTTTGTTATGAATGAAGTAGGCACATGCAGAAGCACATGTTGGACAGTTCAAAGTACAACCACTAGGTGGCGAACAATAGTACAGCTTCCTTTGCCAAGCATGTATTGAAGTTATTCTTGCTCCCTTTTACTTCAACTGTTTTTATGTTCTATATTTTATGGCAAGGCTAACCAGAGACTGTTTATGTGTTTTTTTATACTTTGTTGTAACATTACCCCTTTGCTTCAAATCTTGTTGTCGATGACTATGTCTCTGCCCCTAAAACTATTGTACATAATTGTCCATCAACCATTTGAATATGCAAATGTGTCGACCACAAGGTATTGGTTAGTAACCAGCATACGTGAGCTCAAGAGCACATTCAGAAAAGTATTAACATTCACATTTAATGTGTTCGTGTGTAAAATGTATGCCCTGCTCATCCCCATAGGCAAGAGCAGTAGTCAAATATAGTGCCTTATCAATATTATTGCAGTGTAAAACAAGTTGCCTTGATGTTTATGATGAATAAAATTCTGTTTTACTGTGAATCACGTCTTTTCTGGTAAAAAAAAATAAAAACTGTTGGTTCTATATGAGTTCAGGTGTCACAAGTAGAAGGCATAATTGCTCTTCAGAGACGGAGCAATCTAAGCAGATTTAGAATGTCAAAAAGAAAAAAAAAAAGTCTGAGGCACTCTGTTATAGCGAAAATATAAAAATCCTTTATTTAAATGGACTGCCTTCGCGTTTCGACCAACAGCGGTCTTTGTCCTGGCATAAATAAACAAGCAATCAATCAAATTTTATTTATAAAGCGCTTTTTATACAAAAGATGCAACACAAAGTGCTTTACAGTTTGGTTAAAAACAATCCCGCCGGCCCATGACCCCTCCCCCGACCACCCAACAGACCACAGACAAACACACACACGCTCTCATGAACACACACACACACACACACACACACACACGCACCAGTAAAACAGTAAAGCCATGATGAGAGACTTGGCAGGGTTCGGATGCAACCAGCTGAAAAGCGTCATCCAAGGAGCCGTCTGCACCAGGAGCAGAGAGCCGCCTGTAGCCACAGGGGACGACACAGGATCTAGAAGAGACCCGAAACCGAGGCCCCAGGCCCCCACCAGGTCCAAGAGTCCGACCCCCACAGCCATGCCGACCACCCTCCCAGTGCAGAGGGCTCCTCCAGAGGAAACACTGGGTACACTAAAAACAATACAATAACAATACAATAAGTAAAACACAAAAATGTGAAACTAAAATGAACTAACACACAATACATGAATAAAAGCAATAGCAATTTAATAAATAATAGAAGATAAATAGAATATATAAAATGAAATAGTAAAAGCTAATCTAAAAAGGTGTGTCTTGAGCCTGCTTTTAAAAATATGAATGTTCTGTTAAGATAAACACAGTGTTACCTTACACAATTTTTTTAAAAGTTTTTACAAGACATTTTTACAAAAGATCACCAGTATGACTCGAGTCAGAAAAGAATACAAAAAATTAAATATTTAGGAAGGACATAAAAACTATGTATATAAATACATGAAACTGTACACTCAAACAAATACACATAGAGCGCCACAGGTAAAAGGAGAGCGAGCATATTGATAGAGGCACCAACTGTACAGCACTGAGAAAGAAGAGCAGTGTAATGCCAGTTAATACTTTCATCAATATACATTTTCAAAACATAGAACCAAAGACCACTATCCTAAAACTCATAATTCCGAACATCTACAAAAATGGGGTAAAGTCCAGTTCCTTGTTTAGCCCAGGGTGATGTAAAGCTCCAAGCGTGTCTATCCAATAGGTCTTCCTATTCTAGAAAATTCTAGAAAAAGTTGTCTATCAACAACTTACAGAATTTTTAATAATCAATCACCAGTGTTGGGCACGTTACTTTGAAAAAGTAATTAGTTATAGTTACTAGTTACTTCTCCCAAAAAGTAACTGAGTTACTAACGGAGTTACTCCACTATAAAAGTAACTAGTTACCAGTAAAAGTAACTATTGCGTTACTTTTTCGTTTTGTTCTGGAACATAATGTGCACCCGACGTGCGCATTTTTACCTTTAAACAGTGCCAATATTTCCATCTAGAAAAGGCTGTTTTGCTGCTGAAGTCCTGTTCACTCTTCATCTCTCTCTGTGCTGTAAAGCCCGCCACTGTGAATGTGGAAACACCGGTGACGAGCGGTGAGGCTGGTGAAGCACTGACTTCAGTCCAATCAGATGAACATATACATCATATAAATCAAGTGGACAATTTGTTTGGCTACAGCAAAATATGTTTTATGCCCGCATTGTTTGTTCATACAAAACGCAAAAACTATGAGTTATGGGTCTTACCTTATAGCTATACCTTATAAATGACCTGCACAGTCCACTTCGGTTCAGACCAGTTCCTTGTTTAAATCCAGTGAATGGTTTGAGCGTAGATATGTAATCCTCCATTTGGAAATGAGTCCAATGAGTTTTAAAAAGTAAAACAAAACGCGTGTGTCCTCCGTAAACTCCTCTGTTTTGCTGCAGCGGCTGCATCCAATTTCTAAAATCATCACCGTCTTACACTTCACCTCTCTTTCTTATCATTCCTATATTAATTGAAAAATTACCCTATGTGCATTTTAGATTATGTAAAAATGTGTTATATGTATGTTAGCCAAACCTGTTGCTGTCCTTAGCAGATAAACCAGGAAGAGCAAGGAGCTTATCGATGGAATTGTATGCAGCCGACTTCTGCGCTCACATGCGCTACTCTGTGGCTGACCTCACGGTGATACAAGCCGTGGTTGAGTGTGATTAAGACCCATATTTGTTTCAAAAACACAATTTATGAGCCATCCTCTCAACTGTAGACATGTGGATTGTAAAGGAATTATGATTTACATCAGCCAATAATTGCTGAGAGGTTTTCTCATCCTCCCTTCTCTCATGACAACACGTTCATGGTGCGTCTTGAGTAACGCGCAGTAACGGGATGTCGGAAATGATAACGGCGTTATAGTTACTGTCAAAGTAATTAGTTAGATTACTCGTTACTGAAAAAAGTAACGGCGTTAGTAACGCCGTTACTAGTAACGCCGTTATTCCCATCACTGTCAATCACTCTTTTGACATGTTCCAGTCTGGTTTTAGACCCCACCACAGCACAGAGACCGCTCTAGTGAAGGTAACGAATGACATCAGACTTAACACTGACGCAGGAAAAGTCTCAGTTCTTATCCTGTTAGATTTAAGTGCTGCTTTCGACACTGTCGATCATGGTATCCTCATTCAGAGACTTGAGGACTGGGTTGGTGTTTCTGGTACAGCCCTAAGCTGGTTTATGTCCTACACTACAGGACAGAAAGTATTTTGTGGAGATCGGAATGTATTCTCAGACCATCTGGCCCTAACTGCGGAGTGCACAGGGATCAATCCTGGGGCCTCTCCTGTTTTATATTTACATGCTGCAGCTGGGTAGGTTAATACACAGTAATAACGTGTCCTATCACAATTATACAATACATTACAATACAATACAATACAATTTATTCTTGTATAGCCCTAGGTCACAACAGAAGTCATCTCAGAGGACTTAACAAAACCATTGAAATCACCAACACAGGTCAGAGAATCAACAGTTAAAACACATGAAGAATACAGTATAAAGCACACACAGAAGAAAATGTCCATACATGTTGTAGAATGCTAAAGTGTCCTGATCATCACCAATCCTTTCTGTTGGACACTAACTGTCCAACAAGACCCTCCTGCATCGACAAGGAAAAACTCTTAAAAAACCCAGTGGGAAAAAGTGAGAAACCTTGGAGGAGAACTAGGGAAACCCACAGGGAGGGAGACCCATATGAGAAAGGGATCCGCTCCTCCGGACGGACAGACTAATGATCTAGGACCTAAGCTAGCTACAGAACGTGGACCAGTGGACGCTGAACGTGGACAGGTCCGGTGCAGGACCGAAGCACTCCCAGGCGGGTCGGGCGGGGCAGT